ACAAACATGGCTGATCAGATAGTAAAAAAAATACTAAAAACAAATCAAGACAATTTGTTTTGTGTGAGTTATCGAGGTGTGACATCAATGCCCCCAACACGTGGCCCTTGGGAACGCCATCTTTGACTTGAAGCCAGGAGGCCTGGTCGACGACCGGGCCGCGGGGACGCTAAGCCCCGGAAACACCTTGAACACAAGAAGAACATAAGAACAAAGGTAACGGCAGAAGGCCTGTTGGCCCATACGAGGCAGCTCCTATCTATAACCACCCAATCCCACTCATATACATGTCCAACCCGCGCTTGAAACAATCGAGGGACCCAGGTCCCTCGATTGTTTGTAGGAGTCGGTCGGCCGAGCGAGCAGCACACTGCACTTGTGATCCTGTGGTCCCGGGGTCGATCCCGGACGCCGGCGAGAAACAATGGCCAGAGTTTCTTTCACTCTATGCCCCTGTCACCTAGCAGTAAAATAGGTACCTGGGTGTTAGTCAGCTGTCACGGGCTGCTTCCTGGGGGTGGAGGCCTGGTCGAGGACCGGGCCGCGGGGACACTAAAGCCCCTAAATCATCTCAAGATAACCAAGATAACCCCACCTCCACCACGTTACGCGGTAATTGGTTCCACAAATCAACAACCCTTAAGGCTTAGGTAAGGTAACCGTATGTATCAGGAGCGTGAGTCGTGTTGCTGCACTTCTGTGATTGGTGAAGGTAGCAGTGATTAGGAGGAATGACTGGGGAGGGGGGGGGGAGGGAGTGACAGAATGAAGGTAGGGAGGGTGAGAGTGAATGGTAGTAGTGGGTAAATGGGCAGCCGGCGGCGCGCAGCTGTATAGGGGAGGGGCTGCTTCCCCTATCGTAACATCTGCCACGTGCTGTGTAGGAATCATTGTTATGTCCGGAACAGGGCACGTGATCCGGATTCCAACACCTGCAGGTCGAACCCTGTCCCCCCCCCTCCCTCTCACCACCACTGCCACCAGCCCCCCTACCACCACCACCAACCCCTCAACCACCAACCCCCCACCACCACAACCAGCCTCCTACCACCACCAGCCAACAGCCTAGTGGACCAAACTCTCACAAGTCAAGCCTGGCCTCGGGCCGGGCTTGGGGAGTAGAAGAACTCCCAGAACCCCATCAACCAGGTATCAACCAGGTACCACCACCACCAAACCCCCAACCACCAGTCCTGCCCGTTTTGTAAGCTCATAGTGTGTGATACTATACTATATTGAACCTTAACGCCAGTGATTCGTTCATGGAGAGTAGCGGTTGAGGTTGCTCGCATGCAATGCCTTTTTTGACGATCTTTTCCGAGTTAATATGAGTAGTATTAGGTCAGTTAATGGCCACTACGGTAGTGTTCTGAAATGTGTCCGCTATTCCTTTCCCGGTGTTCGTATCCCAGCTCTCCTTGAACCGTGTCATTTGCTATATTCGGATGTTCGGATCTTTTGATTTATTTCATACCACAGCAGTTTAACACGAACTTATAACCCTGAAAAACTATGTGTGAGAGAGAGAGAGAGAGAGAGAGAGAGAGAGAGAGAGAGAGAGAGAGAGAGAGAGAGAGAGAGAGAGATGAGAGGAGAGAGCGGGGGGGGGGGGTAAGGTGACCGTTCTCTGAGGCAGGTTTTGGTCTCTGGAATCTTGCCACACCTGTCATGTCTCAACACTCACCCACACTCACCACACCTGTCATGTCTCAACACTCACCCACACTCACCACATCTGTTGTGTCTCAACACTCACCCACACCTGTCGTGAGCGTTGAGGGAGGTTAACATTCTTATCCACGTATTCTCCACTGTATATGTATCATACATATATGTATTCTTGCACACATAAAATATTAATATGGGGTAGTGCTTACCGTGTCGAGGTCTGCCAAACTGAATCTAAGGTCACTGACTGGTGTATTCCCAGGATGCGACCCACTACAGTCCGCTGACTCTACTAAGGCAGACACAAGAGGCATCAGGCGCAAGGAAAGATGCCCAAGCGTCTTAGGCAAGCGGGAATTGAACTCAGACACCACGCGGTTGCGAGCAAACTTAATATTGTACTCAGCGCCATCTATGAGGCGTATGTAAAAATAAACTATTGTTTCGCTTCAGCAATGCTGATGTTTAAGTTCACCTGAAGTATGCCTGTCCCCTCAAGTATTGCGAAGGTGTGGATGTGTTGGCAAGGTGTTTTCCAAGTGTTGCTAGCGTGTGGTGGAATTGGTACACGAGTTTACACACTGAGTGTTATAAAGCATTGTGAGCGGTGTGTGAGTAGTGTGGGAGCGTTGTGAGGGTGTGAGAGTAGCGTGGGAGCGTTGTGAGGGCGTGTGAGTAGCGTGGGAGCGTTGTGAGAGTGTGTGAGTAGTGTGGGAGCGTTGTGAGGGCGTGTGAGTAGTGTGGGAGCGTTGTGAGGGTGTGTGAGTAGTGTGGGAGCGTTGTGAGGGTGTGTGAATAGTGTGGGAGCGTTGTGAGGGTGTGTGAGTAGTGTGGGAGCGTTGTGAGCGGTGTGTGAGTAGTGTGGGAGCGTTGTGAGGGTGTGTGAGTAGTGTGGGAGCGTTGTGAGGGTGTGTGAGTAGTGTGGGAGCGTTGTGAGTAGCGTGGGAGCGTTGTGAGAGCGTGTGAGTAGTGTGGGAGCGTTGTGAGTAGCGTGGGAGTGTTGTGAGAGCGTGTGAGTAGTGTGGGAGCGTTGTGAGTAGCGTGGGAGCGTTGTGAGAGCGTGTGAGCAGCATAGGAGCATTGTGAGGGTGTGTGAGTAGCGTGGGAGCGTTGTGAGGGTGTGTGAGTAGTGTGGGAGCGTTGTGAGAGCGTGTGAGTAGCGTGGGAGCGTTGTGAGGGCTTGTGAGTAGCGTGGGAGCGTTGTGAGAGCGTGTGAGTAGCGTGGGAGCGTTGTGAGAGCGTGTGAGTAGTGTGGGAGCGTTGTGAGTAGCGTGGGAGCGTTGTGAGAGCGTGTGAGTAGTGTGGGAGCGTTGTGAGTAGCGTGGGAGCGTTGTGAGAGCGTGTGAGCAGCATAGGAGCATTGTGAGGGTGAGTAGCGTGGGAGCGTTGTGAGGGTGTGTGAGTAGTGTGGGAGCGTTGTGAGAGCGTGTGAGCGTTGTGAGGGCTTGTGAGTAGCGTGGGAGCGTTGTGAGAGCGTGTGAGTAGCGTGGGAGCGTTGTGAGAGCGTGTGAGTAGTGTGGGAGCGTTGTGAGTAGCGTGGGAGCGTTGTGAGAGCGTGTGAGTAGTGTGGGAGCGTTGTGAGTAGCGTGGGAGCGTTGTGAGTAGCGTGGGAGCGTTGTGAGAGCGTGTGAGTAGCGTGGGAGCGTTGTGAGAGCGTGTGAGTAGTGTGAGAGCGTGTGAGCAGCATAGGAGCATTGTGAGGGTGTGTGAGTAGCGTGGGAGCGTGTGAGTAGCGTGGGAGCGTTGTGAGAGCGTGGAGTAAGAGGGAGGGCGCCCATAGGTAACCATGCGGGGAGGAAGCTTCCGGCCGATGTTCAACAGGATGTGTCTAGAGCTGTGAGTCCTCTACCCTTGTGTGTTCTTACCTAACACTAACATCAGGACAGCCCTTCAACTCCTGGGCCCCGCCTTGCCTGGTCGTCCAAAACGATGCTTCCTGGCCCTCTGTTGTGTTTTGTTGCACGTGCTTTTAAAAGATAAATTGAGAAAGCCTGAACCCCCTGAACATTTTGTATGTCAGGATCATGTCTCCTTTATTTATCTTCTAGGATGATTAAGTTATGTTTCATCAATCCACCCAGTAATTCGGTGGCCGAGTGGTCAACGTCTGTGATTCATAATCTAAGGACCCGGTTTCGATATGTACCAAAATTTACCCGAGGGCCATCATCTCTAGTGGCCTAAATGGGGACAGGAAGCCACAAGCCTGTTGAGTTGAAGCTGTTGCAGAGAGAGAGAGAGAGAGAGAGAGAGAGAGAGAGAGAGACAGAGAGAGAGAGAGAGAGAGAGAGAGAGAGAGAGAGAGAGAGAGAGAGAGAGAGAGAGAGAGAGAGAGAGAGAGAGAGAGAGAGAGAGAGAGAGAGAGAGAGAGAGAGAGAGAGAGAGAGAGAGAGAGAGAGGAGGGAGGGAGAGGGGGGGGGTAGAGGTACATTTCTACTCATAAGAATATATGCCAATATAGTGTGTATGGTATAATACTGCGAGAGAAGACTGGGACTATCTCCTTGATTGTCTGAGGTCAGAAATTAGATAATAAAGCAAGTTGTTGCATGAATATTATTTTATTGATTGGGATTTACGCTATTAACAGATTATATATTTATACACACAGACACACACATTTGCGTACGGAATAATTTAGAACTTTGTATATCACATACGTCAGACCAATCCTAGAGTGCACAGCTCCAACATGGAGTCCGTATATAGTCAAGTACAAGACTAAATTGGAGAAGGTTCAAGGGTATGCCATCAGACTAGTACCCGAGCTGAGAGGCATCAGCTACGAGGAAAGAAAACTGTAATTAAACCTCACGTCGCTGGAAGATATAAGTTAGGGAGACATGAGCACCACATACAAGATTCTCAGAGGAATTGATAAGGTAGATAAAGACATTATTTAAAACAGGTAGTAAAGGTGGCACAGGTGTCCCCTTGTGTCGCACAAGGGGACACAGCTTGAATCTGAATACCCCAAATAAGCCACAGAGATATTAGAAAGAACTTTTTTCAGTGTCAAAGTAGTTAACAAATGGAATGCACTAGACAGACTCCATACACACTTTCAACTGTGGATATGATAGAGCCCAATAGGCTCAAGAATCTGTACACCAGTTGATTGATGGTTGACAGGCGGAACCAAAGAGCCGAAGCTCAACCCCCGCAAGCACAATTAGGTGAGTACACACACACCTACACAAAGTTCAAAAGTTTAAATTAAGATGTCTGTCTGTCTCTCTCTCTCTCTCTCTCTCTCTCTCTCTCTCTCTCTCTCTCTCTCTCTCTCTCTCTCTCTCTCTCTCTCTCTCTCTCTCTCTCTCTCTCTCTCTCTCTCTCTCTCTCTCTCTCTCTCTCTCTCTCTCTCTCTCTCTCTCTCTCTCTCTCTCTCTCTCTCTCTCTCTCTCTCTCTCTCTCTCTCTCTCTCTCTCTTTCTCTCTCTCTCTCTCTCAGAGATCAATATTAGTACATTTATTGTCCAAACCTAAGGTTATGCTAGTTCAAGTAACTTTGAATAAAATTTTTAGTTTATTGACAATAAACACCAAATGCTGTCCTAGTTGGACAGGACTTGGCGCATCTTATTCTTAAGACTATGGCAACTTTGCATTCATATACATCAACGATAAACATTTCATAAACATTACAGTTACAAAACTTTAAAGGAAATACATTATAAAGCAAAGACGAATCTTTAAAAAAATATATCAGAAACTACACTGGCTACGTTTCAAACCATCTTACAAAATACAATCGTGCCCATAGCTACTCTATGGCTATACTATTTCATCCATATATGGATGAAATGCACAAAATGTGGCCTTTTGTTAAAAACAAAACTCCACATTTTTTTGTACTGTTAAATTCTAATGACAAAAATGTAAACATTAACCATGAATTTAACTTAACCTTATCACGCCTAAATAAGCAGTTTTAGACCTAATTTAGCACACACACACACACATATATATATATACATATGCGAACAAGCCTGAATGGTCCCCAGGACTATATGCAACTGAAAACTCATATATATGAATTATATATACAACTGAAAATATATACATATATATATGTGTGTGTGTATTTACTCTACTAGACCTAAGAAACCTAAAGTTAGGTAAGGTTGTCGCTTTCTCGCATTTACAAAATGAGGAGTACAAAATTGACTTTTTTGGTCGGTAGATATAGCTACGATTATTTTTGAGTGACAGGTTGTAATGTTTATATATCACAGATTAACTCGATTTCTGGCGTCCACCTGCACAGTCCCATTGTCTGGAGCCTCACCCACGCGCGTGCGGGGGAAGGGGGGGGGGGTGAACGCCATCCTGGGAGCCTCACCCACGCGCGTGCATGGAGGGGGGGGTAGAGAACGCCCCCCCCACCATGGGACCAGACTTCTTGGGGGGTAGAAATAGCCTACTCTATCCCTTTGAGATGTATTTCTTTCTTGTCTCGATAAACATACTTGAACTTGAACCAGACTTTGTTCCCGCCTCTTCCATCTCTGTCTTCCATCTGGTTTTGGCGGTGAGACTTTCCGAATGTTTATGTCGGTTTCCCTTGAAGACTATTGGCCAGTTCGATGATAAACTCCTTGTAGATCAGTGGGTCCATGTTTTTAGCTGCAATTTACCAGTTAAAAATATAACCCACCAACTCTCTCTAAAGTGTTTAATATAGTAATAGAATCTGTTGAATATATATATATATATACATTTAAAGCAGTTTTGTTCATATTTGTACAAAAATACTAAGCTACGTTTGGAGAAATGAAAACCATTTGAAAACAGACCTAGTTGATACAAGAGGAACCAGTCACCAATTTGGCACTTGTGGGTGACACAGCGGACTGTTAGGGAGTCGGAGAGACGGGATCTGACCCTAAGGAGCGTGTGTCTTACGATAGGAAGGAAGGTGGCCAGGCGGTAGAGCAGTCCAGCCCCAGAACACACAGCCACAATGATGAACCTGTCAACACCAATGTCATTGTACGAACACAAACTTATATATATTTTTTCAAGATTTATAACCATTAAATAAAACGACGACGTTTCGGTCCGTTCTAGACCATTCTCGACTTGAGAATGGTCCAGGACGGACCGAAACGTCGGTCCGTCTTCTAGTGTGTGGTCTGGTCAACATACTTCAGCCACGTTATTGTGACTCCTCGCCTGCATTAACTAAAACAATTCCCACAGGCTGAAGGACGTTAATGGCAATTATATATCAACAAATTGTAATGTATCTTACCAGAACCAAAGGAAAATGAAGATCTTCTCGTTGACGATGTTGAGGGGGAGGACGCAGAGGCCGTCATGCGTCTCCTTAGAGGCAGAGGCGCCATACTTGTGGAAGGTGCACTTGCCCACCTTGGGGAACACCTCGTCCATCGGGTCCCAACGCGTTCCGATCTCCTGCTCGCTGAAGTTGACGACCCGGGTGCCGTACGTCGAAAACTCGTAGCCCAGGAATCTATAATATGTTAGCAATTACTTTTTTTAGGATTTGTATTGAATTATAGTTTCAGTTGTGTTGTTTAATTACCTAAGTGTAATTACCTAAGTGTAGTTACAGGATGAGAGCTACGCTCGTGGTGTCCCGTCTTCCCAGCACTCTTTGTCATATAAATCACGTTTGTCATATAAATCATGTTTGTCATCACGGAGGTGCAAGTGGACAGATTTAGGGATATCAATGTATCATGCTATCTTGAGGTTATCTAGTCGACTGCTGGGGAGAGAATTACGTTCACACACACACACACACCTGTTGGTCAGGTAGATCTGACCGATGACATTGATGAAATTAAGAACTTCGCAGATAAAGAACTTGAAGGCGTAGGTGTTCTGTCGGTGGAGATTGAGAGTGAAGTAGTTGACAAGCATGGTTTTACGGTCCTTCTTAGCCTCGTCGTCTACGATGGGGGAGTCTAGCTGATCCGCCAGCATCTTCAGCTTTCCTCCTTCCCACACCTTCCACAGGTAGCGGGGGATGTAGAACATGATCGCCTGCAACACATCGACCTCTTAATTCTTACACCAAAGAAATACACCGCTATCAAGCGATGAGTCACAAGTATGTTGACCAGACCACACACTAGAAGGTGAAGGGATGACGACGTTTCGGTCCGTCCTGGATCATTCTCAAGTCGATTGTCAGACTTGATCGTCAGACACAATCGACTTGAGAATGGTCACCTTCTAGTGTGTGGTCTGGTCAACATACTTTAGCCACGTTATTGTGACTCCTCGCCTGCACAAAGTCAGTGTAGCTACTTAGCACTTGGTAGGGGTGAGGACAAGGAAATGGGGGGTATGAGGACGGAGTGAAGAAACAGTGACCACTGCTTGCACCATCGGGGATCGAACACCGACCCAGCGAGAAACGAGACCGTAGTTATTCAGACCAATCCAAGTGATTGGAACCTTTTTTTTGCAGGGAAATTCCTGCGCGGGCCCTAAGTCTCTGGCTGGCCCACTAAGTGTTGCTTGTTTCTGTTTTATTTGGGCGGAGTATGAGTATTTATGACTCGTATGGTCGCTTCAGTAAGATTTTATCCCATGTGTTTAACAACTTCTGCTCTGTTGAATCTAAGCTGAAATCTTAATGGGTCTGTAACTGTGCACTGTGTTAGATAATGTTCCAGTGGTCTGTCGGACATTTCTCCACAGTGCTGATTAAAACTGACCACAGCGGAAACGATCTGTCGATTAACTATCAATCTCCTTGTCATAACTCGTCCGGCTCTATTTCACTATTCATCTTAAACCCATGTTGGAAGTCAATTGATTTACTCACTTGTAGATAGAGGAAGAGGGTGACCCACTGGTAGTACTTGTGATGCTTGATCTCCTGCTTGACCCCTTCTCCTCCCATGCCGATAACGGTGTTCCCGGCGACGCCAGGATGGGCCACGTCCACGCCCACCTCTGCCCCAGCGAGGGAGGGGATGGTGTAGGTGGAGTGGATCCAGCAGTAGGTGTCCATGATTTCGGCGTCCACGCCCTCCACCAGGCAGTCGATGGGGTCGCCGAAGTACTGCTTCTGCGTTATGAGTAAGCTGAACGCCACTAAGATGAACATCGTAGCCTTGTAGTGTAGTCTGAAGACATTGTTATCTATGTGCAGGGAACCTATTTTCATTAGGTTCCGGATTCCTCCGAATACATCATGCATGGTGGTGGTGAGAGAGGCTCAGGGAGCGGTATAGAGAGTCAGCAGTTGTACACAGGTAGCCTAGTCCTCGTCCAGCGAGGGTCAGTGTGACACTCAGACCCCGCCAGCCAGCCACTAATGGTTTACCCAAGCTTGACAGGAAGCGTTTCCTAGAAGTTTCGTTGAATAATAAAATAATACAATCTCCATTAACTTTTGATACTTAACGATTAAAGAATCAATTATTATGAAGCAAATGGGATTTTATGAGAGATGCAATTTCTCGTTGGCCTTGATTTTGGCAATGTTCTAAATGTTCAAATGTCCATTAATTAAACAAGAGCGGTCCTGGGATTTCTAGCCTCGTCTGCCCCCGTTTTCCCATACCACGTTTGGTTGTTTTAGAGAAGTTGGGGGAAAGGTTTTTGATTCCAACAGTAAACACACTCTTGTTCATGATCAAAGGTGACCAGTGGTTGTAGCGTTAGTTTTGATTGATTGATTGATGAAGATTAAGCCACACAAAAGGTGGCACGGGCACGAATAGCCAGTAAGTGGTGGCCCTTTTGAGCCATTACCAGTATCAATAGATGATACTGGAGATCTGTGGAGGTCCAGCTGCACCCTGCGTGACGGGAGATGTCTCCCGTCGCGTTAGTATTGTATTCGTGCTTGTGATAGATGGAATATGACCTAAACTGTGGCGGTATATACCAGGTGGTCTGTTCACTTGGATCAAATATTCCCACTGACACCTCTGCGCTGGACGGACGTGGACAGGAAGCAGCATTAATTTTTGTTTTACACTTATCTTTTGTAATCTATCAATTTCGTTAAAAGTGTAATAATTTTTCCATTCATTCAGTCTCGTGTTATAATGGGTCCTGGCTGTTATTGTACGGTATATAATGTATGATTATAATGATCAGTACAGTATATTAGGCTATTATTATTATTATTACCTCTTCTTGTTTAAGTAATGTTTTGAGTCTTTGTAAACAAGATTATTGTAAGGAATAAGTTTTAATATCAGTGTTGTTTTTTAGGTATTCTTGCATAAATTAACAATGTACTTGAAACTTTGCAAGCTAAGTCATTTATAAATGTACAATCATATACGAATATAATTTTTGAATTTGAGTTGATTGACAGTTTTCTTCCTATAAACTCTGTAGGACAGCTTCCCCTCCAAGTTTCTATTCAAATGGAGGTTTTATCGTATTAAATTTGCTTCTTGTGTATTCGGTTTTAGTTATATAAGAAACAGGCGTTACAAATACACATATATTTGTTTAATATTAAAGGATCGACATGAGACACAATCGACTTGAGAATGGGTCCAGGACGGATCGAAACAGACCTTTTGTGCCCTCTGTAATGCTTTTGCGCTACCGCTCACAGGATGAGTATGGGGTGCACAATAAACTAGACAATAAAAAATCGTCGTCCCCTCATTTTCTAGTATGTAGTTTGGTTAACTTAATATTAAACACTTCATTCAACTGAATCACCGGTGATTCGAGCTTGTACCTCGAATCACTTTAGTGTCCAAGATTTACGCAGGTGGGTACATGAACAGACGACTTCAAACTCCTCTTAGGAGATGTCTTCCGTCACGCAGGGTGCAGTCGCACCTCCACAGATCTCCAGTATCATCTATAGATACTGGTAATGGCTCAAAAGGGCCACCACTTACGGGCTATTCATGCCCGTGCCACCTTTTGGGTGGCTTAATCTTCATCAATCAATCAATCAACTCCTATTAGCAGTCTGAGAACTTTCCCGTGCCATAGCAAGCTTCCCCTGGAACACGCCCAGCCAATCGGTTAAGAACCAGATACCTAATTACTGCACAGTCAACGGAGGTGAAGAATTAAGACTTTGACGCCCAGACAAACGATCCTCTGTGACCCGGACTCGAACCTAGACACATCCCACACGGGCCGAGTGTGTTCCCGCGCTGCCGTCTCGTTTATGCTAGTGGGCTTCTCGTTCATGCTGCTAATAGCCGTCTCATTCATGCTAGTAGGCTGTTACCCTAAAGATAATCTTGAAGCGCATCATAATAAATATCCTCTTATGACGTCTAACCTTGCGATGGCGTCACAGGAAATCCTTGCTGAAACTGTCCTACGCTGACGTCACACCAGATCCCTGGCCGACGTCACACCACATCCCTGGCCGACGTCACACCAGATCCCTGGCCGACGTCACACCAGATCCCTGGCCGACGTCACACCAGATCCCTGGCCGACGTCACACCAGATCCCTGGCCGACGTCACACCAGATCCCTGGCCGACGTCACACCAGATCCCTGGCCGACGTCACACCAGATCCCTGGCCGACGTCACACCAGATCCCTGGCCGACGTCACACCAGATATCTGGCTGACGCATCAAATCTCTTAACAGACGTAATCCAATTTTATCTCTAATGAAAAGATTAAGAAAATGTGATATTTGTATTCTAGAAATGTGAAGAGTAAGGGATGCTTGAAGCATACAGGCGGATGAAGGGTATAACCAGTATATTAATATACTAATGTGTTAAATATATGTATTTATATTCATATTCAATATTCATATCCATTTGTTTCATATTCAAATAGAATATGAAACACATTTTCATATTCATAAACACATATTTTCATATTTCACAACACATGTTTCATATTCAAATAGAATATGAAACACTGGCTATAAATTGGATAAGTTTAGTCAGAAAAGAATTGGCCAGGGAGGATTGACTAGGCGCCAAACGGTACACCTGTTCAGCCAGCAGTGAATGGGGTACTTGGTTGCTAAACGATTTGAGGAGGGGGGTCGTATTCCAGGGGAAAATCAAGATTAAGGACCTGTCCGAAACCTATGGGTGAAAATGGCTTTACAAAAATGTAATAACTATTGTAAAGTATATACAAAAAAAAAACAATCATGATCGTGTTTGTTTCCTATTGCACTTCGGGGGTCGTCGTTCAAGTAGCACGGGCTATGGTGAGCCCGTAGTGGACTTACCTGGCACAGGAGCGGTGCCGTCTGGATTCCTTGATATCGCTCGGCTTATGTTCTTTTTGTTCTGGTATTGGAGTTTTATGTAATGCATCTCTAATATCCCACATAGATAATCTTCCCGGCTTGGGGCCTTTTGATAATTACCCATCACCGAAACACAAGTTGGTGGCAGCACCTTAATTTTTGATAATTTTTAAATGTAAATCAAAAAGCAAATTATCAAAAAATAAACGTACCTTAAATATCTAGGGTCAAAATCTTGTAACTTCCTTCATGTTGCAACCCGTTCTCGCCAGAAATGGGTCTACATATCAGTATGTCAATTTAGAATCTTTCAGGTAGTAATAATTTCCATAATTAGTTAATGAAAATGAGGGGGGGGTGCACGTGTGAAAATATTGTGTAATTATGTTTTAATGCATTATCCGTATGGTTCTTGGTAGTAGAAGATAACGGGGATGCAGTTGTAGGCTTGTCCATGTAGATCAGTCCGCGTTTATGTCTTGCAGATTTCTCCGATGAGCACCTTGGGTATTTTGCATTTAGTACTTTCCAATTGGTTTTTTTTAATTGCTCTATTAGGATTTAGAAAGTAATTTGCCTTGCATCAAAAGGATACTTGTTACGATCAGCCTTAATGTTTAATAATTCAGGGCAAATTTTAGATAACCGATTTTTGCTCATGTATAACATTGCAGTAAAATTTGTTGGAATTAGGGATCGTTGTGCAGCATTGGACAACATCACTTAGCATTATAATGTCCAAGTTAACAGCCTCAATAAATTACAAACGTTCTCTACTCTTGGCATTTGAATTTCTCTAAACCAAATTTTCTAATTATTAATTGAAGGGTCTTTAATTTTTTATATTAAAGCACTAGGGCAGTATGATTAGCATGTCGTTAAATATCCTTAACACTACAGAATGCCTACACAGTATGACATTTTTACTTTAAACATTTACCTAGGATTTTAGAGACTGCATAAGCAGAGAAGTAAATTTTACATTTTAATCCTTTATTAAAAACAAAGCTAGATTTTGACTGGTATAGTATCCAATACATATTTTAGTTCACTCAAATTATTACTATCATCTCCCTTGGAACATTAACAAGGTTATAAATCCAAATAAAAACCCTATTAGCATTGTTCATTTATTTGTATTTCACTGCCACCGGCGCTCTAACACGCCGTTCATACAGAGTAAGTCAAAGTCGTTCACCTATCAACATGCTTTAATGTACACATGTACTACACAGCTCTTGCACCTCCATTCATCCTCTTAACAAAAGTAGGCTAAAAATATAATTTACATGCGTCCAATAACTATAAACTGAAATCCTTGTGCTCATAACGCAAATTACTTCAAATACACTAAAACGCCTTAATGTTACCTATCACAACTATCTTTACAAAATAAGTAGAAAAAATATTTCCAAATGTCATATAATTACAATAATTGGTCCCTCAAAACCAGCAATGCAAGGCCCCACACACCATGCCACACAGGTAACAGGAACTATTCAATCGGAAATGAAAGAGCTGGGTGACTAGACTGGCAAATGGCAATCCTGACCGAACTCCTAAATGGCATTTTGTTAACCATTAGCAAAGTGACGAGTGTTCAGGTCTTCAGGTATCTTACTCAGGACTCTCACAGGCCAATCTAATAAATATACCGACTATCGATTTTAAAAATTGGAAGACATAGCTAGCCGTTATAGAATCCCCAGAAGGCAGACATGTTTGCTGGAAAACCCCATTGCCCCCCCCCCCCACCAATCATCAAACCCACAATTCATCATTCTTCCATATTGTTGAACGATATAATGAGAAAATCTATATCCATCATCAAAAATTAAATATTAATCAAATGCATAATAAATAATAGCATGACATTTTAAACTAAACTATACTTAAAATATTAGACACCTTTTCACTACACACCTGGAAAGGAGGCAGCAAGATATAAAGGCAAATGGATTGACACTAATTCTAAGAGTCAAGAAATTAACTTTACAAGTTTATTTTTTCCTGTGGCCAGTTTTTGAGACTACTATTTCTTCCTGCCTGGCACAAGACCAGGTTTTGAAAGACAAAAAATCCTTGTGACAGCTGTATTCTTAAAAGAAATGTGCACCTTATGAGTATTTTAAGAATTATATGCACCATCTGCTAAAATTTTAGTAAATATTTTAAGAAATATTCCATTTACTACTAGAACACAAACAAGCAAACTTTACATAATAAACCCAGTAAAGAGATCTCAATAGGGAACTCCCCCCATGATCGAGTCAGCAGGCCCCGTGTCATGGTCATCAATATTACGCTGGAAACTTCTTTCATGCAGCTTGCGAACAACTTGCAGTTGGGTTAACTTTGTTTATACAGGGCCCTTTCCTTGAAGCTTGTTAGCCAGATCTGTGATAAATTCCTTGTAGATCAAGGGATCCATGTTCTTGGCTGCAAGAAGAACGAGTATAAAGTACTACCCAAATACACATTACTGCACTATAAACTTTTAATTAAAACTAATAGATTTAAAAGTACAGTACATATTAAAAGGGTTTTTCATATCAACTATTTAGATACTCACCTAGTTGATACAGAACAAACCAGTCACCAATCTGGCACTTGCGGGAGATGGCTTCCACATTGTCAGAGGAAGCAAGGCGGGATCGAGTCCTCAGGAGGATCTGTCTGAAAGCTGGGGTGAAGGTGGCCAAGCGGTAGAGAAGTCCAACCCCAGATATCACTGCCACAATGATGAACCTAGGAAGGTATGCACAACTATAACAAGCAATATGGAAAATTATTCACACTTCAGAATAAAACATTGCAAATATAACAATTCAGTTGTCCAAGTAAACAAGTATTATAGGGAACATTAACTGTGTAGGGTAAGGTAGTCCCCTAATAGCTCCAAGGCCTTAGGATTTAGTTTAAACATGTGTATTAATTTTAAAATGGACATTTACTTGCAACTTTGAAATAGAGGTAAGAAAATGAAACATGATCATACCAGAACCATAAGAAAATATAGATCTTCTCATTGAAGATATTAAGGGGCAGTACACAAAGACCGTCATGCCTCTCAATTGTACCGGAAGCACCATATTTATGGAAGGTACACTTTGCAACCTTAGGGAACACCTCATCCATAGGGTCGTGACGGGAGCCCAGCTCTTGTTCGCTGAATTCAATGACACGAGTACCATATGTAGTAAACTCGTAGCCCAGGAATCTAAGAAAGAAAAACAAGCAAACTTTAAACAACTATAGTATTTCACTTCACATATATACATACATTCCAAATATATACCGATTTATATCAGTGGCATCACAAGTATTTAGCAAGTACTGTACAGCACATTCATAATAAACTTTATAAAAAAAAATTACCTGTCAGTGAAGTAGATCTGGCCAATGACATTAACAAAGTTCAGTACTTCACACAAGAAGAACCTAAATGCATAGAAGTTGTGGTTGTGTAGATTAACACTAAAGTAATCTACCAACATAGCCTTGCGTTCCCGCTTGACGTCGTCATCCAAGATGGGAGAGTTCAGCTGCATAACAAGCATCTTCACTTTACCACCTTCCCAGATCTTCCACAGATAACGGGGGATGTAGAACAGGATGGCCTGAAAAATACAATTATCATCACTATACTACAGTTAAAACTAGATACAGTATTTCAATCATACGAGTGAATGAATTAGGGTTGGCAAATCTCTGGATTACAAATACTGTAGTGCTGTTTGTGGTGGCTGCACTGGTACCTGACCAAGTCTAGTTTGTATTCGTTGTTTTATTTACACAGTATTGTACTGGAGAGGATAGATGTAAATGTGTCGAGTATTTTTTTGTTCCATGGGGAGATGGGAAGGATGCTGGGTATCTGAAGCATCTAAGTAAATTTAAATACTGTATTGTTCATTATACAATAAACTAAATTTTGAAGCCATTACAAAATTAAATTCACATTCAGGTCTAGGTTAAGCTTAACCTACATATAGCACACAAACTTGCTAATTTGGTATAATCAAGCTCCAGTGACCACTTTTTTGTCAAGTTTTTATTGGATTTTCATGGTTATAATGTTAATTTAAATTAAGCCAAGCATTGAAAATGCTGTCAACTAAGCAGGGGGAGGGGGGGGGAGGGGCATCAAACATATAAAACTCTCCTTACAAATAGTTTACTTAAGATTTGCAACTTCAGATGACAATGAATGAATATGTTTGAACCTTTCTTAAACACTAAGTGATTATGATTTAATGGCAATAGACCCCTTGCATGCATCACCTTCCATTGCATGTATGCATTTAAAAAACCTGTAGCAGAATCGTTATTTACTTAGTCGCGTGTAATTGGTTTTTTTAATAGTTACAAGGCTGCAAATGACAATGGTGTCCTTACAATAATGACCTTGCTGCACAGCATCAATATTAGGTAAATAAGGAACTACACAATTACATCAATAATGAATTGCCAAACAAAATTCTAAAAACTTAAAATTTGTATTTATACATTAACTACTTAAACATGCCATGACAGTGCAATAAAAAAAACTTAAAACATTAATATGCAGCATGTACTCTGGGATGAAAACAGTGTAAAACAGACATTTTTCCAAATCTTATTGTTTCAATTTCACAAATGTATTGATACAAAATTGTATTCACAAATACAAAATGAGTTCCTAAATAAAGATCTTGACACTTAATCCACAGCTGTGAGCTACCCAATTTTCAAGTGGTTTCTTGTACTGGAGAAAATTCTTTTTGAAAGGCATTTATTCATGTGATTTCATTTATATGCAATGTGCTATTGTGTAAATTATGTAAAGGAAGTCTATAAAAGGCCAACACATAATATTGACAAGTGTTAGCTTCTCATATGTAATTTTATATAAACTATATAAATTTAAATCGGTGATATGTATGATATCACTTGTCAGTACAGTACTTTATCAGTATTATACAGCCGTAAATATATTGCCTTTTCATTGTAAATTGTCTCCACAATTAAGTACAGTATTTAATATATTTAGCAACAATCAGATCAAAATAACTACCGTAATCACCTTCCATACAAGGTCAAGATTCTATTACCACAAACAAAATTTGCATTACTGTATACCCAAAACCAATTAAATAATATATAAGCTTTACTGCAAAGTAAGGTAATTATGAGAAAGCACATAGTAACTCGCCCAGTATGAATCTAGGCACAGGTAGGCCGGTGCTCAAAACATATCCCCCCCCCCCCCATGGCCTTAAGATGTATAAATTTTATTCAGAAAACCTGTACTTTGAAAATTATATTTGTTATATTCATTAAATTACTATTTTCTTTATACGGAGGTACAAAAGCTCTGCTTTGGGCTACAAAATTCCCTACAGACAATTTTTCACACCCACAGAACCATAGTCCTCCCTTACGACCCAGAACCCGTTTAGTTTAAGAAAATTTAATGATTGCTTGCCTTGTGAACATGGTCGATATTCAAAATAAAGAACATTGGACATTATAATTGTGTTATATCCTGCCTATGCAAGCCAGGACCAGTCCTTGTAAGAGCAGTCTGTACTACTGGCTGGATCATTGTTTTGTGATCCAACATTTTTAAAAGGCAGATTTCAAGAACGTTTTTCCTGCACCCAATGAAATTCATTTGCCTGGTTCTCTTCTAACCCATTGTTAGAAGAGGAAATTTATTAGTTAGAAATTTATAGCACATTGTTATAAATAATTAACTAGGAACTAGCTTATCAGGACTTAACTTGTAGGTAAATTTATTTTAAGGTTCGGCGACAGAGTCCTTTGTGTGCTGCCGTAACCTTTTCCTCCACAGGATGGGTATGGGGTACATTATAAATTAAAACTAACGTGACAACGTGCGCGCCTCAACGACAGTACTCTTTAGAGCGTACTTTATAAATTTCATGAACGAATCAAACTAGATATCCTACTAGGTTGTAAAATTGGTCTCTAAGAAGGAAGCCCTGATACTGGCATTACAGATTACCAGACCAAATGCAAGGCTGTGCACGTAATCACCCATCCTGTTGTTGACCAAAGGTACCAGTGCTTAACTACCAAAAATCATACATGCAGCACTTTTTGGGGGGCGTGGGCAACATGGGTTTACATTCACAGTTTACACCTGCCAACGCCATGATTTACGTTCATAAAAATCCCTCGTACAGTAAGTGACTGAGCGGACACCGTTACTGAGGTTTGAGATCGTCATTCGTACACAAGTTAGGCACACTGGCCAGCTTTTTAAACCAGCGTGTGAATTTCCATCAAGATCCTGTATATTAATATATTAACCAATGCACTAGATTCTAGATAGCATGCTTCACTCGTCCATAATAGTCTATGTATGAACAGCCCGATCATCTAACATCCCGCAGGGCCTTTGGTTATAAAGTTTAAAATGAAACTAGTTTATGACAAATTTGCCACCATTTCAATAATGGTTGTACATGAATAAGCTTGTGAACGGTGAATGAAACACTGACAAAAAAAAAAAAGAGGCGACAAAATGTCGCCCTTGAGTACGTCGCCCACCAACAGACCGGAGGACATGACCACTACAACTGCCTCTCAGGTCAATAAATGAGCCTGTTACCTGGAAGTACATGAAGAGCGTGACCCACTGGTAGTACTTGTGATGCTTGACCTGGTACTGGTCGTCAGGGCCGTGTATGGCAGGGTTGGCCACGCCCGGGTGAGGCACCTCCTCGCCCACGATGGCCCCCGTCAGGTTGGGGATGGTGAAGGTGGAGTGGATCCAGCAGTAGGTGTCCATGATCCCGGCGTCCACGCCCTCCACGATGCAGTCGATGGGGTCGCCGAAGTACTGCTTCTGCGTTATCAACAAGCTAAAAGCCACTAAGACGAACATAGTCGCTTTGTAGTGCATACGAAATATATTATTATCGATGCTCACGGAGTCTATCTTTAATAGACCCCGGATTGACCCGAACACATCATACATGATGGCGGTCTACGCAAGGTTTCTGTCGTAAATAATAATAATAAGAGCACCACGGGGCACCGGTACGGCGGTGCCTGCTTGAAGGAAGCGGAGCAGCACTAGTGTTCCCGGTCACAGTCGTCGCCACACTCCAGGTCCTCCTGGTCAGCTGGCTAGCCTCGCACAGGGTCCCGCCCACCCAGGACCGTTCCCGAAAACCACCAGGAACTTGGCTCTTGAGAGACGTGGCAACCCTCATCCCTCCATGGAGGAATGTCTAGGCCTAATGCTATGTATATTGTCAATGGGTGTTGTAAATGAGGCTTTTTTTTCTTCAGTAACTATGTATGTTGTGTATTTGTGCTGAAGGCTGATTGGATATGAAGTGTCATGGCGGCGAGTATGGTCATTTATTGTGTTCCAAGCGGCAGGGTGGCGGCGGGTCGGTGGTCAGAAAATATATGATCAGGACGATGCTAAATTTGAAATTCATGCATTTTTAATATAACATTAATTTTGTCCGCCATTCAGTTCTATCGTCATCATACGTGATGTAATTTCAAAGTGATAGCACCCAAATTTGTGAGATATGAGATAAGATAATATATGCGGGGTGTGGGGAGTGTGGCATCACCCCCACCATCAGCCCGCCAAGGGTTCCCCTCCGGTTATCCTGCTTCTCCAGGTCGTCTCCCCCGTCCTCCTCCTCCTCTTGATAACTTGAATGCAACATACAGAAAGGATCCTCAGCATTTTTTCACGTCTTGGTAAAACTGACGGATCACTATTCTTAATTCCGTTGCTCACAAGAAAGTATTTTGAATGTGTTTTTGATTTTGCGTTGTATTTATATTTAATACCAAAATGTTTTCAACAAAGTTTCCTAAGATTGAGTCGTAAATTTTTCACGGAAGAGCTAGATTATTATTTTGCAGGTGCAATGAAGATTGTCCAACATGGAGATTAAAATCTTACATTCCTCAAGCTTACATTATCTTGCAGGTGCAATGTAGGGAAGTCTTTTTAATTAATGACTTTTTTTTATCTATACAGTATTTTATAAAATGAAAATATGGGATTTATTATGCTACATATATTTCTAATGCTCCGGGTGGGCACAGTCTCACAACCAGACGACGTACCTCTTTTATACTGCAGATTTTGCAACTCAATTGCTCAACTGTCACTTCCATCCTGAATCTCACTTGGCACTTATCCTTGTATCCAAGACGAATTCTTGCTTTTACAGTTTCTCACCTGGAACCACCTTATTTTCTTTCTTTCTTAACGCTTAAATTTGCCGGTTGTTCCAATGTTGTTCAGATTCACTGGCTAGCTCCTGCCTTCTATCCTGTAAAGTAAATAGTTGTAGTGTTGACTGGAACACTGCACCATGATCAAGATAGTATGAAAACCTGCAGCAGAGAAGTGAGCATTCGTGTCACATTCGACTGGGTCAGAGTTTGATTCCCAGTCAGGCCGAGACGTTTGGGCAGGTTTCTATACCAACAATGCCATTTTTGACCAGACCACACACTAGAAGGTGAAGGGACGACGACGTTTTGGTCCGTCCTGGACCATTCTCAAGTCGATTTGAGAATGGTCCAGGACGGACCAAAACGTCGTCGTCCCTTCACCTTCTAGTGTGTGGTCTGGTCAACTTACTTTAGCCACGTTATTGTGACTCATCGCCTGCAACAATGCCATTGTTCACTTAACATTAATTTAGTAGCCAAAAATTAGGCAACTGTTGTCGCCAGCCGCTTCCATTTTCTAGTACGACAATTTTTAACTTATGTAACGCCTACGAGCGAAAAGCGACATTCTTTGTAGGGCAGGTTGGCTTCTGAAGATGATAATGTGCTGATTCTCGTGCAGTGGCACGTCCACTTTTTGGCTTGTGCTTTTTTTTTGTTGTAAGCGGTAAACCCTGCTTTTGTATATAAATATTGACGAACTTTTAGATGAGTACTGCCTTCTATACTTCATTATACCAGAACAACTTAGTTTGAAGCGAATTTGTCAGGGTAAATTTGTCTTGGCATGTATAGATAACATATGTTTAAGGCAGAATTACTCTCCTGCCAAAGGTAATCGTAGGTAAGTGCCAACATCAACACACAACTGCAGCCCAGCCTCCTAAAATGAAAGTACTTATTGTAACTATGTGGTGGAAATTAAATTTTTAAATTAAATTTTGCCCCGAGGGGCGAGTTTATTGAGCAGCGCCTCTCATCTTGTGAGTGGACATACCGCCATAGTAGCATGTACAACACTCCCCAATAGGAAGAAAACCCGCTGGTGGAAAGTGAAAAATATGTAGTAATGGACCGCCAGAAAGATGACCTTTGTATTACTGAATTTGGACAAACCAAAAACTTGTTTAGCTGCAACATAAATATTAGACGTAGCCTAATCTAACCTAACCTCTCCTAGGAGTCCTAGGCCTAATGCACGCTATCTTAGACCTAACATAGTTAATATATGTGCTATACTAGGCCTAGGAATATTTAAGTTTGCTTTTTAGCTTTTTTTCCGGACTATATAATTAATTGTACAACTGGTTTACTGGTGGTCCATCACCATATTAGTACTTTCCACCAAATAGGTAATATAAGTACTATCATTTCAGGAGGATGGGTTGAGTACTCTCACTATACATGAAGCAGATACTGGATTGGAGCCTAGCAGGTGAAGTGGTCCAACTGCTGACCTTTGTCAGGTGACCGGCCAAGCGAAACACAACTTTCCCAACCTCGTCAAGTGTATAGTACAAGACCCGTCAAGTATGGTGCACTAACCCCGTCAAGATTACAATATGGTTCACCTTATTGTTCACAATACTTGGACACTAGAAACCTGTTAGGCTTATTGGGGGGAGGGGGGTTTCGCAAGAAACGCTGACCATCTCCAGCCTAACCGGGGTGTCACACAATTTCCCCCATGCACTCGGATGTATATTTACTACTTTTACGGATGTATATTTATAATGTATGTATATATGATGGATGTATATATAAGTATATTTACGGATGTATATCTTTTTACTACTAAGTGAACAAAAGCATTATATGAAAGGAAAAATGACACAAACACCAGTTGATTGACAGTTGAGAGGCGGGACCAAAGAGCCAAAGCTCAACCCCCGCAAACATAACTAGGTGAGTACAACAACTAGGTGAGTACTTCTGTTTTACTGAGGGAATCGCACCCAGGACCTTTCGGGCGTGATTAGTGCGCGCCACAGGACCTTTATATAAGGGTACACTCGGCTTCTTAGTCAGGTCAAATCGTCAAAGCCTTCCACAAGACCTGGTCGTCAAGGCCTCGACCAAGACCTGGTCGTCAAGGCATCGACCAAGACCTGGTCGTCAAGGCCTCGACCAAGACCTGGTCGTCAAGGCCTCGACCAAGACCTGGTCGTCAAGGCATCGACCAAGACCTGGTCGTCAAGGCATCGACCAAGACCTGGTCGTCAAAGCCTCACCTAACCATGTCGTGAAAGCCTCACTCAAGACCTGGTCGTCAAAGCCTCAACTAGAGTGGTCGTCAAAGCCTCGCCCAAGACATGAACGTCAAGACCTGGTCTTGAAAGTCTTGTAAGCTGTAAAGTCTGCACGGGGTTAAATCCTAGCAAATATTTCTCCTCCCTCAAGTATAATGCAAGAACATGTAACGGGACTCATGTTTTCCCCAGCGTACGCCCTGTTGATGACCCAAGGTCTTGAACACGTCCGGCTCTATTAATCAACGAAATAATGGGCGTGCGGGTGTGCATGTGTGACTTGTATAGCTGCGCTTGGAGGTAGGGTTGTGCGTCAGCTCCTAAGCTGACTACTAATGTTCTTTCGAACATTAATTTAAGTTTTAATTTAAGACTTTTCTCTCGTTCATAATCATATTTACATTTGAAACTGTGTATTAAATTAGTTTGGCAACTTCATCTATTTATTTATTGATCGCTGAAAATCATTTTAATCTCTGCGACTCATTTGTCTCATTACCGTTTATACCTCCTCGTTCTGCTGGTCCTCGCTTCAAACATGGCTTCGTTAACTGAGCAGCCAAAACTACAGTAAACACTTGTAGGGGCTTAATAACCTTTCAGAGGTTGAGAAGCCTTTAGTCCAACACCAAACCAATCAGTAAACGATGCTGAATGCTGTCTGGGAGTGGATGCTGAATGCTGTCTGGGAGTGGGAGTGGATGCTGAATGCTGTCTGAGAATGGAGCTTTTATTGTTCTGATTGCTGATTTGTTGAGTAATTCTGGGTTGTATATTCCCAGATACCGTAGGTGAGATACGGATAGCAGAGTTCACAGGATCCTTATATGAACGTGTCAGCATATCCTGTAGTGGGATAATTGTAGGTGTGTCAAAAGGGAGAGAGAGAGCGCAAGAGAAGCGTGGGCGAGACGGTATTAGGAGGCAGTGGTCGGGGTGAGCACAGTGCTCCTCTGTGTGATGCAACTGTCACCATGCGGCAAACAATTAGCATAATCATACTCCCTCAGTGGCGGGTCATACCCAAAGATATCTTGTTCGATCCCCGCGGTTTGCTAACGTCTCCTTTCACCTGATGATTCTATGTACTTAGCAGTAAATAGGGCACCTGGGAGTTAGACAGCTGTTGTGGGTTGCACCCTGGAGATTGTCAGTATAGTTGAACAAGAGCATCTATACTTATGAGAGAATGTCTGTTGTTGTTCAAAAGTTGGAGGCCAGACGCTTGTGGCCAGCCACACCCAAATTTGCAGGGAGAATGGTTTGCGGCACGGGTCGGACATAGGCTGGTCGGAATAGTCACAAGTTAAATGCTTTAAGAAATATTAACAATTATAAATACCTCCTAGCTCATTTTCATGGACTCGAGTGTGAAATACGCCATGTGATTAATGTGATTATCGTGAAGTTGTTACTGAAAAGAAACAAGAATGTATCAGGAAAGAGAAATTTAAAGCAACGCATCCGAGTGAGGTGATGAAGGGGTGAGAGAGAGTGAGTGAGTGAGAGAGTGAGAGTGAGAGTGAGAGTGAGAGTGAGAGTGAGAGTGAGAGTGAGTGAGAGTGAGTGAGAGAGAGAGAGAGAGTGAGAGAGTGAGAGAGTGAGAGAGTGAGAGAGTGAGAGAGAGAGAGAGAGAGAGAGAGAGAGAGAGAGAGAGAGAGAGAGAGAGAGAGAGAGAGAGAGGGGGGGGGGGGGGGGAAATAAGTGTAAACAAAACATTTCCCGCTCCCGTCTCTTGAGTGTACTAAAGAGAGAAAGTGAGAGTAAACCAGAGTTACAGGAGGCAGGTAAAGAGAGAGAGATAAGCAACATGTAGCCGCTCACGTCCTCACGCTCGCCACCCCACGCTCACACCCAAACAAGCACCAACACATAAAAATACCGCACACGCAATAATACGAAGTATCACACGATAATATCATATCTCACACAAATTCCAAATATCTCACAATATTTCAAAATAATGTATGACACGCCTGGTTAGTTGTCTAAATATATATATAAAAAAGCTCAGTATCTAACGTGCCCACATGCAATAAATGGTAAGCTACACAGCTATCTAAAAACAATGTCGTATACAATTAATTGATATTCTCTCACATATACAAAACATAAAATACAAAACATTCCACACATAATTTAATAATAGCCGTACCTTTTTATCTAGATTACTATTTATAATTTAACACACGCAAATAAGCCAAACAGCCAGATTAAGGGTACGGTACTCTTTTGTTCAGTTAATTTGTGTGTTTATATTGAAGACAGAACCTGTTTGTGTGGCGGTGTGAAGTGTTTGATATTTTCCACGAATGTATGCTCGTTTTTGTTTATTTACTCACCACTAACTTTACCAGAGATGGTTCCCACAACAATTGATCAATTCCCGGTTAGAAGAAACATACCAAAGCCTGTCCTGCCGCGGGAATCGAACCCAGAGCCTTTCGGCTTTGAACTGACTGGACCATAGTAAATTAACTTCACATCGAAGCACCAACACAGGTTAACTCTCCCCTACCCTAGACAGCAGGCATCCAACTCTAGACAGCAAGTCAAGGGATCTCTTTCAGGAAAGCCTGGGCGCAGCAAACATTTGCAGACCAAAAGCCGCTATAGTGGTTGTGTGCGCAGTGGTCGGCGTGATGGCCGCTGCAAGAGCACCCATCATGTCTGGCTTCTCTCCCACAACCAGTTTTTTACCCAGGTTTCGTCAGCGAGGATTGGCAGTGGGACGGGGGTAGTCTCAAACTTTTATTTAATTTAGCCTAATTGTTAATTGTTTGCCTTATTTTGTAATATAGGATCCTAGCTCGTCGACGCTTTAACATTTTGTTTATGGCTTACAAAAAAGTACCCTACAAAGTACTGGCAATAAAATAAACACATGAGAATAAACTTTATTTATAAATGACGCTTCGTTTGATCAAATCCAGCAATGTTAATTGCGTCACACACAGGAACCAACACCTCAAGTTTTAAGGAAGCTAAACTCATTATCAAACAAGAAAATATGAGAAGGCAATATAATATTATATATATTATATATACTGTATATGGAAAAGCATCTCCTTTGAATTTGAGAGAACCATTATAGGGGAAACACAAACTACATAAAGGCTACGCTCTCTAAATCTTGGTTATGTTGAAACCCGTAATTTAATCTCGGGGAGAATTCTGTTGATGATGCACAGCGCCCTGACGTCTTGGTCCAGCTTCACAGAGACCACATTCTAAGAACGTAGAACCCAACTGACGCATATCCTTCACTTCCTAAAAACATTCTGGGTTTTTTAGCCCATCATTGCATAACAACGGCATAAAGTTTTCCTACTCTCTTTGTTCCGTTATAAGCGTACGTATGTCGTTGGGGTGTCTGATGAAGGAATAGCAACCAACCATTTAAGCAGTTTACGTAAATAAATATTTGCGGGCAAGTGTGGATTAAGTTACCACACAGGTTCCAGAATCTTACTTACGGGGATTATTTTAAAGCATTAAATGTATGCTTATTTGCATCTTTCGGGAAAGTTTTACAGTTACGGCCTCGTGTGTGACGCCAATACTGGAGGCAACACACACAAACACACTTCAACAATTTGTCAGGCTAGTTAGAAATAGTAAAAATGAAAAAGCAAGAAGAAACTATGATGTAGATATAGAAGGCAGGCAGACAAATTCTAAAGGGATTTTTTCAGGCACTATATCAAACAAAGATTAGGAAAATAGAAAAAAAAAGACAAGACATAAAAAACTGACATTAAATAACTGATAATTTTGTAAATATTGAAAAAACCTAGTTTTAAGAAATTATTTACCATACTTAAATGGTAATATATTGTTTCCAATAGTTAGTAGTAGAATGCAACTTAGTGGCTGGCCTAGTACTGCCGGCCCTGGACACATTCAGAAAATATGATCTTAACCTCTACTGGATCAGTGTTGCCTACTATTAAGCAAGAACTGTAAGATTCTCTTATCTTTTCTATTTAAATAATTAAATATATTATGTCTGATCAGAGTACTTTAGCTAGTCCAAGTACCCAGTGGGCACTATCCAAAAGCAACGCCATTCAACATAAATGCCACTCTTGGATACTGTGCCTACTGTATGGGTAGGAGGGCAAGGTACTGTATCTCAATGTAGCAGATTAAATTGATGTTGTAAAGTGAGGAAGGCTGGGAAGTGTGTTGACACTTTCTGAAATTATATATTTATTTTATAGTACATTGCCTGGAGAGAATGTTGGTGGTAAAGATTAAGAACAAAAAATGCATACTGGGGCAAATTATGATGTAGATAGTAAGTAAGTAATTATCAAAAGAAGGCACCAAACCGGGAAGTATGATGTAGATAACAAGGAATAAATCGAGTCAACAAAAAGACAAGCACCGGTATAGCCTTGTGTAGTACTGTACTGAACAAAATTAAGACTTTCATAATCAATCGGAAATTTTTGTATATATTACTGAAGTGTAAACACTCCAAAATATATTTACGGTAAAAAGGAAACCAAAACACTACAAAAGTTAAGTGCAGCATTTTAAAAGTTCAGATTATTTGAAAGTCCAAAAGGGTCTGGATTGATATTGGTCCAGATTTCTGAGGCTCTGTCTAATTTATGACCTCTTGCAAAACCTATATTCACACGATACATTAAACTGTACATTTCCTAATAATCTACATACTGTATTTGTTGTTACCACAGGAAAACTTCAGAATTTTTTGTGGCAATGATAATGTTGACTGCATTTCTAGATGCACCACTCCTTAGAGCACACAAAATCTCATCGTCCAAAGATAGGTCACAATAAAAGACACGCACACATTTATGGAGTACATTTGTTTTTATACAACACCACCAGCAGTGGCAGTATCTTGAGACAGGTCATAAAACATCACATTATCAGCCGAGTCAGGCAAAATGCTAACCCATGCTTGTATATTGGGATAGCTTAAGAATAAATTGCCATTACAAACTTGCAACCATGACGTCATCAAACGGGTGCACAACATCGGCCGGTCGGAACTCAACATACTGCAAAATTCATGCTGACCAGGCAAGAACCATGCAACTTCTTTTCTCAATAGTGTTAGATTCAGACTAAAAGAATTTCAATACAGTATTAATAAGTCAATGATGAACTCTTTCAAACATTTCACTCACACATGGTAATGGTGTAAAATGACCAGCCAATCATGATCTAATGAAGTATTCTCATACATTAGGGAAAAAAGAGAGATGTAGAATATTAACATAGAAAAAAAAAACAGGAAAAAGCTAAGTGCCTGGCCAACAAAGAATCTAGTATAATTGTTAGAGGCAGCCAAACTTTCCATTTCATTCCACTAAGCTGAATTAGTTTAATGATGACTTCCTCCATGCTAAACAACTGTGTGATTAAGTTAAACTTAGGTGCAATAACTTCCAAGGATAAGTAAGCTTCAAGTCCATGCATCATTTCATGGGTTAAAAGAGGTGGATTTCAACCCGACAAGCACTTTTAGTATACTGCCAGCAATATTTTTCCGAGGTGAGTAACCACAATCCGCTTTAAAGCAGTATACATTATATAATTTAACTCAAAAAGTTTGTATTCTGTGAATAAATGCATTCCAGATTCTAAAGCCTTCCTTGGGGTTTGCTGTTAACTTCTGGCAACCTGTAATCTCTATAACCTTTACTAGCTAATAGTTTTAACATTACAGGGAATCAACAGGGAATCAAAAATGGAAGATAAATGTTTGTTAACATTTTGGCAGTAACACTGCATAACTTAACATGAGAAAATCATACATGAAACAAAATATACGTAGGAACAGGAATGTCATTCATCTTACAAAAACACCGACTGCTAGTATGGCAAAATTGAAATACACCTACTGGTCATCAAATAAAATGTAATTACTAAATAACCTCAAAATATTGTATACTTGCAACTAATGAACAAAAGTCCTTAAATGTCTGCTAATTACTTCCACAGCTAACATACCTTCATGAACACAAATGATGTCTTTTGACCCACTAGCAATTAGACTATGAACCAAAACCAAGCCACAAATCACCCTTCATTTGCTAAAGCATTAGGTGAGCTGCCTGCACAAGCTGCATTACTGCTGGTATCCAGGTTAGGGAATGTTGCTTATATCTTTCACTTTTCAATAATTTAACAACCACCTACACCTAAGTAACTAATTTGCATGTAAATGTCTATCTTGTGTATGTATGTATCTAAATTAATTAATTAATTATATTATATTATATATATATGTATACAGTAATATAATCATATACAATTGCTAAAAAAAATGAAAAATTGAAGAATATATATATACACATCGGCAAGCATCTGATCTGATAATACAATGAACATGAAAGCTCTCAGGCATATATATATATATTCTTCATTTTTAACTATTCTTTGCAAATTAATGTCAATGTGTAGTGTGCGTGTTTATATATGTATATATTTGTATGTGACAGTTTATGTATATGCATGTGTGTAGTCTATTATATATATACAGTATATATATATAATTATAAACACGCACACAAACATTCTATTGTCTAACCGAGCTCTTTTTTTTTCACCCTACACTGTCCCCTACAACATCCCATATTCTTCATACACCATTTATTCAAAAACAAATTCACTGTTCTATTTATTCTAGAAAATAAGGCCAATATTTGAAAATTCTATAAATTCATTTAGCTTTACCTACCAGTCACTAAAAATGAATATTGTTATGCCACAGGTAATAGTCAACATGAAACAAGTTACAGGACATTAGCATCTGGTCTCGTAGAGTCCCGAACGGCCGATGTAACGAACCCATTTGATTACGTCATGGTCAGAGTAGTTAAGCTTCGACTCGAACACTTTCAGGTAGCGAACCTTGAACCCAGATGGAGCAAACGGCACCTTTGGGAGAAGAAAGAAGAAATATTTCTCATTAATACAATTTTAAAGAACATGTATTCTTAAAGTTCCCTGAATAACTACAGCACCAGAATTTCTAGTACATGCTCAACACAAACTGCACAAAGTTTGATGCACCATACTTCTGTTATCTACTGTACTTATTTTCAACATGCCACATTCATTATGTTACAATAAGTGTTGTGATATGTAAAGTTACAGCTACTAACAATAACAAAAAACTAATTTCTTTCATATAACATCCAAGCACTACTTCCATATTTATCAACATTGTTTACTTCTAGACCTTCCACACCATTGCTTTGAATTACAAGAATTACTATAGTCAACTACTATATAGTCATATAGTCATTACTATATGTATATACAAATTCTAAATACGCGAGGTGATTCGTAGTTATTTGCCCGACACTGTAATCCAAAATAAAACCTATTTTGCATACAGTAATGGTGTGTAATTTAAGAGAAATTCATTCCTGTGCACTACCATACCACAACCATTCCTGTGCACTACCATACCAGTTACATTCCTGTGCACTACCATACCAGTTACATTCCTGTGCACCACCATAAAAAGCCATTCCTGTGCACTACCATACCAGATCCATTCAGTTACACCACCATTTACATTACATTTCATTAACAAAATCTGCAAATAAAGCTTCTAACATTTGGTAAAAAAAGAAATAAATTTAATGCCTATAAAATCTATTTAACATAACACAAAATTTACAGCCAACACACTTAGGACAATCTGCTTGAATTATAATTTATTCCAAAACAAGAAAATAAAGTAATCACATTCATCTATAGAATCATATTCTTAACATATTACAGAACTGCATATTCCTGTGCCAGTCCTATACTATATTAACGAAATATGCTCTACAACACAACATTCCTCTAGAACACACTAATGCATAACCCATTCTTCTAACAAAATAGTGGATTCCAGCTCAAATATTTGGTTCCAGACTCTGTTGGTACATATGATCTTGGCTATTTGACTATTATTCATTTGTACAGATAAAGCAACTTATATATGCATATATCTGGATACCAAAATCTTGTGAAAAAAGGCATATTTAAGGAAACTTTCCCCCTGTTAATTAACAGTTTGGCGTCCTGTTGACGTATTATGCGGCATAAGACCTAAACACGCAGAGTGGGTGGTGATGCAAACGTCGTCATGCAATAATTTTTACATATTCTTATTCTTAAGTACAAACATGAGTGAAAGAGTTTAACATTAGGTTGTGTGCATATCAGCAATGCTCGGCCTACCTTCCAGTGTGATGCGGGTGGCCCGCCAGGCCAGAGAGTGTTAATTGAAGAGGCTTACAATTATAATCTTAATTCTAAATGAGTGCTTGTACCTTAAGGAACAAATTAAACTGGATGAAAACAAAAAATTATTAGAAATATGATTTTTTTTGCACAAAATAATGAGTTGCCAGCATCACTCGATAATTATTCTGTCTGCTGACAATCACAGTACAGTACACAATGCTGTATTGTATCTAGAAGAGACTTTCAATAATTTATTCTGATTATGTTTTAAGCTTCCACAGGAAAGAGAAAAAACTGAGCAAGGTATCTAGCAATTGCCTCACACTGCTAATATTTTGTGCTCTGGCGGCAACAAATACCTGTACAAAAATAAAACAACTCAGAACTGGCCGACTTCTTTCAATTAAAGCTCCAAATAATGGTAACAATTTAGATTTTTTCTGCTATTGGATAAAAATTAAGCAAAAATATACTGTATTGTAGGTTACTGTGGTGTAAAAAAAAATATATATAAATAATTGTCATGTTTGCTTATGCTGCAAATGAAATTCAATAGGAATTTTATTATCTGGAAACTTAATTTGTTTTATCAGATGCTTGCACTTACTACAATATATGCAACTAATGGCTAGGAGCAGGAATCCACTGATTATTGCTACAAAAACACTATACAAAACATAAGACAACATCTTCTATCAGCACTTTTGATCTTTTAACATACCATTAGTGAAGGAACATTCCATACTTCTTGAGATCACATTGCATAATAGCAACATGGAATTTATAGTTTTAACTTGCAGTTGTTGCAAGTTAATTAAATCATTAGACATTTCACTTGAGCAAAAATAAATCCTATTTTAAGTATGAAAGTTATTTGATGCCCTACCATAAAGTAAAGGGGTTACCATATTCTCACTTCATGGTTCATCGGCTACACACCCACTGCACCACCACTTGTCCTGCATATCCACATTGTTTCTATAAATATTTATTCCTTTCTCTTTATTCATTCATTACCTATATGTAACCATTTTAAAAAGTTTTTACTCTATATACATTACTATCTGTCAGACCAAGCAAACGGACACAGCTTCACTGCTGTTATTGTATAACCAAACCACAATGTGAAAATCTCTTGCAAAGGTTTCAAGAGGCCCTGCATGGGTCTTGAGCAATGCAAGGTCACTTACATATTAGGGAGAGCTTCTACAAGATTGTAGGTTAGATGTAACAAGGCTTAACTATTAAAACCCTAGATCATGAATGTGTGGCACTGTAAAGGAAACTTAAGAGAGGAACCCAGTTGAAGATAGGTAAAATGGCATGTCTAAAAAAATTATTGGCCAGAAATGTTTTCCAAATGTTAAGAAGCATAATAGAAATTGATAGACACAAGGGATATTTTTAAGTATAAGAGCTATAGCAACATACAAGTAAAGAACACAGTAAACTTAAGACGTACCGATGACAATCTAATATACAGTACTGTATATATTTATGCTGAAAACTCGGGACCACACATTTCCCCAACATATATGTTTGGCAAGCCAAGTGGGAAGGATGATTTGGGGTTGCTACAATGTTAATAAAACTCAGCACCAAGGCATAAGAATTTCACCAACAGCAAAGCAATGCAAGAGTAGCCGTGTTCAATAATGGACAAGATTTCCTAAACCCCCACAGATTCCAGAATGAGATGAAACTGTAACAGATCTATTGGCAAAACCTCCTGAATGCAAGCCACATGACTTAACAGCACATCTTGATACCTGCATCTGGATCACGACATTCTCTACCTTACCTTGAGGTTACCTTGAGGTGCTTCCGGGGCTTAGCGTCCTCTACATGCCAAAATTTAGAAACGAGAGAAAAATTCTAGTAATATTAAACAAAATGCCTACTGATAAATTGTATTTACATTAGTGTGAAAATAATAATGTATACAAATTTGACAATGCATTTAAAAAATATTCTGCACATGATAAAATGGCCAAGAGTGGCTCAATCATGAAAAATGAGTAAAATACTTAAAAGCTATAATTGTGATTTACAAGTACACTCACTGATCTTAAATAATAATAACTGGTCACATTTGATAACAAGATACTACGCACTTGATGTTGATCGTTAAAAATCGGTCATAATATAGCAACAGGCATGACTGTTGGTGGCACAAGAGCCAACATAGCAATCACATTCACATGACCAAACACCTCAAGAACTGTTGACAACCACAAGCCTCAGTAACTGCAGATACAAAAAAATTATTTTCTGTCTACACAAGTTCAAAATATATATTAATGTTAATAACAAAAGTTAAACAGTACAATGAACCTAAACCCAGGTCTCAAAATAGAAGTCAACTGCCTAAAACAAAGCACAAGCAGAATTGTCCGAGTCATAATTACCTCAAAGTTCATCGAGATTGGAGGTCTGGTCCACTTCTTCTTGGTGTCTGTTTGCAACAATTCTATCTCAGCAGAGATTTGAGATTCCTTCATTCCACCCATTCGCTTTATCCTAATGACAAAAAATAAATTAATAAATAAAATGCAATTCACATAAAATAAATCCCAACCAATTACCACTTCAAAATTATTTTAACAAACTCTGCTTGGATACAAAAATTCCATTCTTAATATCGTAAGTACTGTAATGAGATTTGGGTGGAGAGAACTAGGAGTGAATCCAACACTAGTCTTGACACAAGATGCACCTAGCTACATACCATCAGCTGCTTATGCAAAACTAGCTAATGTAAGTATGACCTGATAAACCTAAATAAGGAATACTTTAAAATACTATACACAACATATGTTTGGTCATCTTAGAGTATGCAGCACCAGCACAGAAGTCATACCATGTGAAGCACATGAAAATATCCAGATTTGCAGAGACAGGTACTAGAAATAAAGGCAATGAGTTTCAAGAACGGGCTTCGAGAAATAAATTTAATAACATTAGAAGAGGGGACAAGAGGCAATATGATCATACTGTGTAAGATACTGAGAGGAACAGATAGTGAAAAAAATTCTCTTCTAAGTGAGTGACAACAGAACAGAGGTACAGAAGGAAGTTAGAACCAAATGCATCTGCAAAATTTAGAGGAATATTTATACCACTTAAGAGTGAAATTTATCACTCACTGCAAAGTGATAAACCACTGAAATGAGTTTACTGGAGGTGGTGGAAGTATAAATTATTTACAGCTTCAGGAACAAGTATGATAGTACTGGCATATCAGGGGGTAGAAACATATGTACAGTATACCTGGAGAGGGTTTCGGGAATTCTTCTACTCCCCGAGCCCAGCCTGGGACCAGTAAGTGTGTTAGGAGTTGGGGCTCAAAAGCTATATCTAATTTTCCATAGATACAACCAGTTAAACACACTAAAACATGAGTTAAAGCTGGAAATGAAAATGAGCAAGAGAGAGAATTGGTATACTGTACTTTTAAGAATTTAGGGTAATCAACAACTGGAAAACACTGAAAAAGGTAGTGGAAGCCACCTCCATACACAGCTTGAAAAGCATGTTTAACAAAATGGAACCTGTGTTTAAATTTATTGGTTCTAACACCTAAGAGAAGGCCCAAAATAATTCAAATCTCATTCCCACACACTCCTTCAAAAGGTAATAAGGTAATCATGAGAAGGTGCTAAGCCAGTATGACTATAGCACATTAGGAATTATAAATGCACCAATTTCAATAACAATGACGTGGGGAAACAAGAACTAGCTTCACTTTCCATAAGCATAATTAGGCAAGTACAGATATCATATTGTCATGGTTAACCTTTATCAAAGTGATCCTTTTATCACAGCAAGTACATGTCCACAGGAAATGATGCAATTCTGTACTTGCTCTGAATACCTCACACATTAATTACTTATAACTTTCTAGATACACTGTGGGCCATTAAAGTTATACAAATTTCCTGGAAGAAGACGTGGTCATCTTCACCATGCCCCTTATGATTTACACAAGGTGGGGAGACATTATCCCAGAAGAAATAGAGCAGAGAAAATTAAACTATGCAAAATTAAAACAAAAGCTATTTATAGATTACACTCACTTCCACACAATAGCATTTTCAGAGGCTTTGTACTTTGCCTTTCCCTTCATGCATATAAGCTGGACTCCCGATGTATTAAGTGGAGTAGGGATCCGTACCTGTGGAAAATTAAACAAATTTACTGTCAGATATGAGTAATGCTTATGTCAGATTACAAGAAAACTGCAAATTATACTCTTCATGAAGACTTTTTATTTAAACACAGTACATACTGCTATATAATCAAGCCTACAACTACTGTATAATACCATCAAACCCACCTCAATCTTCTGTGCCAAAAGTGAGGGCTTGAAATTACTCTTAATGACAACTTTCACTTCCATTTTGGTACGGCCAACCTCACGTACCAACGGGATGACACGGAAAGGCAAGGAAATGTCCTTTGTAGTGCGATACCTTAAAGGGGAAAATGTGAACAAAATTGAATTTGGGGAGAAGTTGCTAGTAAAGTAGTGTTGCATAACCAAATTAATTATCCTCGTGCATGATGCCCAAATCCCGACAATGATTGCGATGGCTTTTTATTTACTCACTCCTTCGGTTACATTCTTAAACCATCACTTATCCCTGGCACTCTGCACTAACTGTCATACTGCATTTGTGGCTAGAAAGTCACAGGAGCATTTTGTAACACAGTACAGTAATTGAGCGAGGAAAAAACAATAGAATTTTGGATACTTTCAAAATGTAAAATTGTATTAACTGAACTTTTGTGTACGTGGAAGTAAATTTGCATCACACAAGGTTTTCGAGAAATTCATTTCTTGCACAGATTAATTAAAAGGCCAACTGTGTGTTAATTGAATATATGCAGTACATAGGAATATGACACTTTTAAGTTATATTTCATTACAATGCAATAAAGGACAGCAGCTTGTATTACAGTTCCTATATTATCAGTGACCCAACCACAGCTACTGAGGGACACACGAAAATGTGGCAAGCCATTTAAATGCTGTGAAAAAAAGAAGAAGCTAGAAACACACAGCAAAAGTCCAATGAATTCATGGCACATGTATCAAGCTCTAGGTTACCTTTCACATTTTAAAGAATTGAGTAACAGATGTACCAATTATTTAATTAAAACCACAAATCTTGTTCCTGAGCATAATTTTGTTTACACTTTGTGAACTAGATGTACATTACTAATTAGGGCGATGCTTAAAATCAGCCAAGAATTAAGTGGAACTTGGTCGACAAATCAAACTTATTAAACAATTCTAAGAGATTAAAAGACAACAATTTCTTTAAAAATGTTGTGTGGTTAAAACTTGTTCAGCAACCCTCACTTCAAATAGTAGAGGTGACAAGGCCTATGTATTATCTGAAAATAGTTCTAGATGTGTATAAAGAGTGAAGGAAGCACATATTTTCAACAGTGCAGTACATACTGTAATCTGAAGAAAACACCGTCCAGAAATGGAAATTCAATATACTGTATTTATCTTAAAGTATTTTGAGACTTGGCGTGTCCTAAAATATCTTGACTTAAGTGTTGATGGATCATGCATAGAAACAGTTTACATTATGCTAAATAAAAATAAAGTTCCCAAGGACTATAGTTGGTGTCCTTGGAAACCATGTAAACATAGCAAGAAACATACTTTTTACTTACCTCATAAGTTCAAATTCACCATCTGGGGGTACAAATGATATGGAATGTTCAGTTTCAAATTTGGACAGCTTCACACACTGGTGGAACTGGCAGTCATCAATGGCAATGCTGGTCTTTCCAGACCTTTGCGACTCGTCCGACGAACCTGCCACATCCAATGTAACAATACCGTTCAAATTTATTATTATTACTAGTAATACTACAGTATATTATCACAGTATTCTTAAGTTTTTAGGTTACAAGAAAATGAATGGGTTGATATTTTGTCTGATGATGCAAGTGAAGCACAGGACTACTCAATTAGATAATGGTATGAATACTGTATTTTGCTAAAGAGGTTTGTACTCGTTTTCCATGATGCTATGTATGGGGTTTGTACTAGTTTTTGTTATGCTAACAAGAGTAAGAGGCATTACAAAGGTTCAGGTTTATCTGGAGTAGGTTTCGAGAGATCTACTCCCCGAGCCAAGCCTGCAGCCAGGCATCAGTCTTGCTGAATACTTTAATGACTATTCCTGCAAAAGAGAGTTCCCCATGCCATGAGAGCAGGAAACTAACAACTAATACCAAATGATTATATACCATTATTATTTGTACCACTAATATTTACTACTGATATTAGTTTTTATTTATTTGTTTCAAGTATTTATTGTTTTACAAGCTAAAACTGTACTCTTTCTGTAGTTATCTGTAACAGTGTGGATACATTTTAAATTTACTGAATATTATTTTGCCATTACTCTAATTTATAATATAGAATACAATATGTTTGAATTGTTGAAACTATTTCTTTTGTCACAAACCTGTTGCCAAAATGATTTCCAATATTTTGTCTAATTGCTCTATTCATTCAAATGAAATTCAATTTGATAGTTATAGTACATCTTAAATTGTTTACTCTTGAGGGGGGGGGGGGGAGAGAGAGATGCAGTAAAGCCAAGTCATTGTACTATGCATTTTGTGGACATCACGGACATCGGCCACATCTTGTGCCCCGTTTTGATCATGGAGTTTGATGCATCAAGCTTACTTCTTATTTTAGGTAAGAACATGGACATTAATTCTAAAATCAGTGGTGAATACTCAAAGATACTTCACATGTTATTTGTGAACTGGCCCAGATCTGGAAGAATGAGCTCGATAGTTGACAATTTCATTAGGCATTATATAACTATGCGAGAGATATCAAATATTTATGAGTAATTATGAAAAGAAGGCACCTACTTGAGAAGACAATTTAGCACCGTGTCACTGGAAAGGGAAAAGCATGAAGGGAAAACATTTGTACTATATATGATATTTATGGAGATACATAAAAGTGATACGGACAAATTTCTTTGGCAATGAGAGTCAGATCACACTTATTATACAGCAGTCCATCATCACCTTGCATATGACAATATTAATCCAAAGCTGCCAAAGAATTTCATTTTAACCTTAACTTACTGGTAAGAAATAACTGATCACGTGCACAAGGTCTGAGGTCCACTTACCTCTCTTGGCATCCATAACAATTTTGTCATTGATGCCAAACTTGCACTCAGGCATCCCAGAGAGATAGCTTTTCATCACAACTTTGCCAGCCACATGGGCTGATAACACCTGACCTGCACATGGAATGTAACATTAAAGTACCATAAACCCAAGAGCATATACTTGCCAAGTATATTGTGATTAATTAATCTCCAGTTAATAACATCCCTATATAAATTATGTAAACATTAAGGTTACTAATATCCCCAAGTAAACACAACACCTCAGCCAACTAGAGCCAAGACACCGACTGGTGACCTTAAGTATGACCCTGCAACAGATTGAAGAGCACATGCACATCTTCATGTTTTAATGATGCCAAATTCTAGGTTTATTCCCTGCCCTCTTGTACAAGCTGAGGTCAGCCTTCCCTTGCGACTACATAATAAGCCAGGTTGCTGCAGCTGCTTGCAGTCTGTGCGCCAATATAATTATTGATTATCTGCAAGACCGGGCACTTTTTTTCCCCCAAGAAACAAAACGATCCTTTTGGGAGATAAATTCCATTCAAACAAATTTTTATAAAATGGCTGGGAATAGTTTGAATAGGATTTGTGTTGATGGAGATATTAGCTCCAGGCTGGGATAAGTTTCAGTCATTACCATTTGCATGACTCAATAAAAAAATTGCATTATTTATCACGTTCTCAATTGGCAAGTTGAAAAATACATTTAGTGATTTCCTACCAAGATTTAATCTACCTATAATCAGAAGATAAGTTGCACAGTCAACATCGGAGTTCACACACACACACAATATCTTAAAATTTGGAGAAAGTAAGGAAATCTATTAGTAAGGATTTCACCTAACATTGATAGAAAAAACAGCCAAAGCACTATTTCTGAAACTGATAATGCCAAGTCACTAGCAACAATGATTGCAAGAAGGCTCCTAAAGAACCCCTTCCCAAAACCTATTTCAAGCAAGCAATTCCTATCTCCTAAAGTCTCAATCCTAGCTCTACAATGGGTGTTAAAATACAATACAGCAAAACTATCAGGTGTTAATTTCACTAAATTTAGTGAAATGCCTATGGAACTACAGTATTACTAAATATTTCTACTTTCTAATATACAGGGTGATATCTTATAAAGTTTTACAATAAGTTTCATACCTTGAGGAGACATCAGCAAATTTACATATTCAATAACATCAAGGAAGAGTTCATTCCGTCGGTATTTGATGCCTTCTCTCCGCCATCCAATCTGCCCAGTTACCTGTCATTCACATTAGAACATCAATGAGCATGTTTCAATTTATGTTTGGATTAGATACCCCAATTAAACATTAAATTGACATACAAGTATAGTACTTGCATACAGTACCTCAAACTCTCTATAGCAATGTAGCTATTGAGCTACATTGCTCAGTTTTCAATAATAGTCGTCACTTCTTAGTTCGAACTAAAGTACTGTACTGTGTTTGTTTCAAATCAAATAAAAAATCTTGACAAAACCATAAGGTGTCCCTACTACTGGGAGTATGTAATCATACCAAATTGTATTAATGCCAGTAATAACCAAATCATAATAAACTTTATATTTATCCAATACAGCAAAACTGTACAACACACACCTGAGAAGTGATCTGTGACTGCTCTTCCTTACTGGCCGTCTTAATGCCTTGTTGAGTGATGAAAGTCTTAAGAACACCAGTGTCTGTGTTCTGAGGATACCCAAAGTCAAGTATCTCTGAAAATATGGGAATCAAATTATTACAAGAACTACTTAAATACTACTCACCAGACGTATCCTACTAATAAACATTCTATAGGTCGTTGGTACCTTCCCAAATCTCGCAACTAATGCATTTACAATATACAATAACAAATACAAAGCCCTTACCTTTTTTTGAAGAATTACATTAATAAGGAGTAAGAATGTGAATAAACTCAAAACATACCTATAGAACTACAGCATAACACTCACCATCCAGTAGTTCATAAATGAGTACAAAGTTGTTTTTAACATTCTCCTCGGATATCTTGCCAAAGTAGCTACTCATCACCTGAAATTAATAAAAAAATGTAAAAAATGCCATCAGATGTTTCATGAAGTAGTTTGTAGTAATGATGGCACAGGGACACTTTGAAAATATGTGAAGAGTGAATACAGCATAGTACTGAACTGGTAAACAATAATAGACTATCTTAATGAATGATACCAATACTCAAGGGGGAATACTGATATACACTGATGGAACATCAGGATCAACGAGTATTGCCTCAAGTGTTAATAATAGGTGGCAGTTTTCTTGGATCAGACACTGGAGGAAATGGAAGTGTATGTCAGGATATTATATTGCATTTGTTATAAATTGTTAGTCATATACAGTACTACAAAAGAAAAAGAAACATGAAATATTCCCATATGAGAACACTCACTTAGTATGTAATGCCTCAATCAGAAATGACCAGTATTAAACTATACAGAATTTATCTTCAAGAATTAATAAAGTTTAGTACAATACTTAGAATGTAAAACTGATTTGCCGTACAATAAATATCTATAACAAGCCTAGGTCATTAAATTAATTTGTAGTGTTGTACCATACAGTATAACTAGAGGTGTACTAATGTACTGGTACAATATCTGCTGATTTTTACAGTACTGGAAATATTATAGCAGATATTTCAATATTATACTTTTTTATGTAGGTGGGTACAGTTGTAATATTCAAGTACAGTAATGTATCTGTTCCAGTATTGGCTTTTTTACAGTAAGAGTTTTGCTATTGGCCAATAAGACTGTACCAGTATTGGTCCACCCTTAGGTACAGCCCAATACAAATTACAAGTAGACTTACCTCCAGCATTTTGAGGAGGAACTCAAACACCTGCGAGGCATTAACATTTTGCTTGGTTACTGCAGCAACCCAGATGTTGGCACGCTGAAAATAAATTGGGAACAACAAATTTATTCACTACAAATCAAGCTTGCTAGTCTATCAGTAACATTGTAGGCAAAATATATTAGCACTGGTATCTGATCAAGTTCTCACCTTTATGTGAAAGAAACTGGTACGTGCAATATTAGTGACTGGGGAGCGAACTTGTTGCCGAGCATGGATCACATTCACTCTGAATGCATCCACTGCATTACGCCCAATGTCATCTCGGTATACACGGGATATAAGCACCTCCCCCTTATGGTTATATATGAAGAGACCACCCAACATCTTGGAGGTCCTGAAAAAAAAAAAAATGCATCAAGTGATTACGTACAATAATCACTTTACCTTTTAATGCATAAAGTGATTATGTATGATAATATTATGTGGTTAAAACCATTTCTGACAATACTGCATTGTATATTTCTAGTGGTAAATTTCTAATGGTAAACAAATCAACCTAAGTGGTCACCCAACCAGTTACTGACCCAAATGTTTAGTGGCTTTATAAAAATAAATATATTTACTATAAATACATTGTAATCAGACCCAATGTAAAACTGTATTAATCATATTATAATAATCATCCACTGCACTATATCAGAAGAATATTGGCTCTTCTATTTACTTGATGTTTAAGTCTTAAACATCAACTGTTATCTTCTCCCATGTACGCTTTAACAAATAAATATTTGGTCTAACGTTTGAGTCGATCAGTAAAACATCTGGAATTTCCTGCTAGAGGATCAATGGCTCGCCAATAACGTCCACCCCACCTTTCTCCACCAGAACCGCAGGTTGACCAACCAAACGTTCAGTGGTTTACTGGCAACGAGTGCTGAGGCACGAGAACAACCTCACCCACTCACAACTGAACCACAATTTAATGGTAAAACTGACAGTTCTGCCCCACTCTACCCGAGGGTGTAAACATTAACTTGATGCTCCAATTTCTCCCTTACACAGCCACCTGCCCATCAAGATACCACGAATTAACATAATATAGACACCGGGGTATCCTATATACGATGTACAAAAGTCAAGAGAAGCGACGAACCTTAATTAACGTGAAAAATGAGAGGTTAGAGTGCCATGGTCTGAGGCACCGGGGGGCGGATCAATCCTGGGTCAGCGTCTGCCTCAGCCCCGCCCGCATCCACCTCAACATTTTCTTTTAATAATACTAATATATTATTGACACCAAATGACCATCATACTGAAAGAGATTCTCATTTATAATAATTGTTTTAATATAAATAGTGCTTATATATATTTTTAGTCATGTACTGTTGTTCCAACCGGATTTGTGAAATTTCACATAGCGAGATGGGAGAGCTGAGGGCAACTTATGATTGTATAATTAGAAAATTAACTACAGAAAACACTCTACATGTATATTGTGATGGGTCAGTAGCTAGGGATGGTTAGGCAGGATGTGGAGTTTTGATCAGAGAGTACACTGACATCGGCACTGTAGATACTGTTATTGGCCGTCGCTTAACTGACAATGTCTCTTCAGCTCAGGCTGAACTCCAAGGAGTATTAGCAGGATTACAGGAAGTAGTCAAATGTGGTAAAAATGCTTGCTTCTTTACTGACAGCAGAGGAGCGTTAGAGTCTCTAAATATCAGACGCCCAGTTTATCAGAATATTGTGATAGAGTGTAGAGAGAATGTTAAGAAATTAGAAAAAACTGGGTATAAAGTAAGATTCATGTGGATCCCTTCACATGTGGGAATACTGTTGAATGAGGTAGTTGATGAGATAGCGAAGAGAGCCACGGAAAAAAAACTCTTGTTGATGTTGTATGTCAGTTAAACTGGAAACAAATAAAAACAAGAATCAAGTTGATCCAAGAGGGTGAAGAAATGGTAAAGAGAATGACAATGGTGGACAGTAGTAATTCACTTAAGAATTATTCAATAATAAATACAAATTCGTCCTTCACCTAAGGTAGAGGAAAGTCTACTTGGAAGGATTGAATTTACATGAGATTAAGATTAGGATACAAATATATCTGGCAATACGGTGTTGATGTCAGTGAAAAAGATAAGGTGTGTAAATTATGTAGTATGCCGCACGCCCACACCTTAGAACATTATGTATTAGACTGTCAACTTATTGATAACTATAGAAATAAGGAAATAAATATTGTACCACATCAAATTGTTTGGATGTATGATAATGGTATGATAGACAGTATACTTAGGAGCTACAAGAATTTTGCCTCAAAAGTGTAACAATTATATGCTGTACTTACTAAATAAACCTGCAATGTTAAATGGGATTCTTGTAATGTTATTTGTCTATTTGTACTTACTGAATTTGTGCGCCCCTTGAGGGACTTGAAGTAGAGGGGGTAGAAATAGCCTAAGCTACTCTATCCCTTTGAGATGTATTTCTTGCTTATCTCAATAAACATACTTGAACTTGAACTTAATTGTGTATGAATGGTCAGACAGATATAAGAATAGTGTAATAAACGCAATTATACTCAGTCCTTACTCATTGTTCTGACTGGTATAAAATCTACAAGGAACCGGAGAAAAGCCTTCAAGTATTAGGAACACAAATTGAGAAGTCAACAACCATATCAGAAGATATTTAGGAAAATTGTATAACACACTTTACATAAAACTATTACAAAATCCACTATGATCTCTTTTTAATGGCAAACTTTAGCTATTTTGTATAACAACTGTTATAATCTCATACTTTTAATAATCATAGTAATCGAAATATTCATATTTTTTATATACAAGAGATGAAACAGAAAGTCATAAGCTAGATCTGTGTGTCGCTCCTGAAGACGTCAGTAAGGAGACGAACTTTTAGCAAATACCTTCCTGTGATTGGCTGTTGCTGGGAATGCCAACACTTTCTATAATTAAATGCTAACTAAGAAATACGTCTTTTTGCACAACAATATCTTTATTTCAAACACAACCTCTTCGTTTTGTACAAGACAGAATTTCCATCTAACTGAATAATCGAGTCCAATAAGAGAACTGAGCATTGTATCATCGATATTATTTGTGTGAGGCAACCCCCACTGATGACGTCACAAGCTAGGTAGCCAGCCCATGTTTCTGTAACACTCGTTACATCCTGCAGTATTTAATTATCACTTTATTAATGCTTTTAAATACTCAACTCTTTACTTTTTAGGTAGATTAAAGTTGAAGCAGAATATCATAAGCAAGGATGGTGTGCTGAATAAAGATGGTTTATTAAGTGGATGGAGCCTTTAGCTGATCCCTTCCTGTGATTGGCTGTTGTGTGAATGTCAACAAAGAATATTACCAATGATATGCCATTTATTATGCACTCCATACCATCTGTGGGCGGAGCTAGGAACTTCCTACCCGAGCACAACAACCCGCCTTATGGGTTGCTGTTTGGCTATTTATAGTGCGTTGGAAAAAAAAGAGATGGCGTTAGTGGTATTTTGTGGGGTAATTTGTTATAAGTGTAATTTGATGTCAACAGATGGCGTAAGCTGTACCTTATGGCCACTGTTGACCAGCCAGTTGATAGTGTTCTCGTCTGCCGACAGATGGCATCAGCTGTATCATTATTACTTCCGAATTCCCTTTAAACACTGATCCATAAATCCCGTAGCTTATTTATGATAAGCTTTTATACTATTCTGGTATTAGATAACAATTAATTTTCTTTTATCTACTGTTGAGAATATTATTATATAACGTCTGCTTAGGATGTCCTGTTCTTTGTTGAGATGGCCGTAATATTATTAAAACAACAAATGATGCATAAAATAACAGCATTTCAGACCAAAAATACTTTGATATAGTGAAATTTGGTAGCGAATTCCAATCTAGGAATCTCCTGACGAAACTGTACTGTGTTCGCTTTAGCCGGGCATACAGTATATAATAGTTAATGATAAATCATTGTGTAGGGGACAGGCAGCCAGTGTATATATACATGTTAGGCTTATACCGGTCCCACAAAGGTGGAACTATGGAGTAAAACTGCATGGGTGCTGCCGGGACTGAACTTTATCACCCTTACAAACACAATTTTTTGTTAAATTTCACAAGGAAGAACAGCTGTAAATGTTGGAATAGTTTATTGCAACATACAAGCTAAAGAAACCAGTTCAGAAACTGAGGAAATAAAGCTGGCGAAAAGAAACATTACAAAGTCCACTCATGCAGAGTGGTAGACATTCTGACAGGAATTTCACACTGATCTTAATGCTGATATGTTGATGTGATTATCATAATATAAAGATGTTAAGGCAGGTTGGTTTAGTTCATTTATTATGCACCCCATACCCATCTTGTGGGCGGTAGTGGAAAGGGTTACAGAGGCACATAATGGGCTCAGGGACTGAACCCCACAATTTATTTAGCTAAGCAAGTTACAATCTTGATGAACTAGTTACAAAATTCAATAGACATTGTCACATTAGGAAAGCCTTTTTATTTATTAAATAGTATAAGGACAAATTAAAAGAACCTAACTTAATTTGAGTTGCTCACGTGGCCCCCAAAAATGAGGTAATTTGATAAAATAACTATGCCCAAGATTACCATCATAGTGCCGTCGGGATGATGGGCAAATAGCCTCGGCTACCATCATCTTTTGTACGGTCGTGATGGTCGAGTGGTTAAGGTCTCCTGTACACCAGTTGCATAGTGCTCCTGGCAGTATGGGTTCGAGTCACTTCTGGGGTGTGAGTTTTCTGGGGTGTCATATATATATATATATATATATATATATATATATATATATATATATATATATATATATATATATATATATATATATATATATATATATATATATATATTTGCAGGCATAATTTTAGTCATCCTGGCAGCGTATAGTGATCATCCTTCTCTCTATATCTTCATTACACAACTGAAGTTACACAAGCTTCAGCTTCGGAAAAAACGAGTTATATATATTACCAAAATTAATGGATTTATAATCCAACCATTGTCAATGGTGGGAAGCCTGTTAGGCTTTTCGAGGGTCACCTATAAGCCAACAACTGAGCTTTCCCAGGAGGCATCCTACAACACTACTGAACGGGATTAGAATAGCTTGAATCATCTCATCCCTCTGTGTGCATTTATACCTCAATAAACGTATTTCAGTTTTAATTCAATTTTTCACAACAGTTACGTAACTCCCAGATATCTATTTACTGTTGTGTGAACAGAGGTATTGGGTGTAAGGAAACGTGCACGGGAATCGAACTTTGTGTGTGTGTGTGTGTTTCCGTTGGTGTCAATAATAAATCTGATAAGTTTTTGTCCCCAACTGAGTGTGATGCAGGTGCAATGGCGGTTTGTCGGAGCGGCGCTGTCTGGGGCCGATACACCCTCCTACACATGAAGTTTACACTCTAACCCCTAGAACTTATTTCCCATGCCTCCGTGCATACGTTTCACCCCTGTTTTATGCAACCCTTGAAGTATAAGGTTCGAGCGGCAGTGGACAGGTGTAACAGGTGCGGAAGTGGTTGCAGGAAGGGCCGGCAGTGTGTGTTGCCATCCCGTCATTCACGTAACTTTTCTTGCCTCTCCACCACCTGCTTCGGTAAAAAATACGTTTAAGCATTTATTTGTCCTCGTTAAGCCCATGTTTAATACAGAGTAAATTTAATACCAAAAAAAACATTGTTTGGGTTAACAGAGAGGCGGGAGATATGAAGTGTGTGTGGGTGATGGTCTGGTGGAGGGGGGTGGAGCCCGGGACATCCGGAGTGAAGGTGTAGGCGCCATCCAGATGTCTTGAATGTCAGGCGGGCCGGGCTTGTCAGCCTCCTTTCCCGCCAAGAATTTTCCTTCCCGCCAAGTACTCATCCGCTTTTGTTGTGGCCCAGTTTATTGTGCACCCCATACTCATCCTGTGAGCGGTAGCGCAAAAAGCATTACAGAGGGCACAAAAGGTCTTTATCAGACCTCATTTTAGATTATTACATAAACAATTTCATCTATCCTTCACACCTTATAGTTACAATGTCAGCTAGTTACAGAGAAAGTGCTATTTCAAGAGCTATATATTTACGGTAAGTCATTCCGCTTTTCACAATTCCCCGAAAAATTGTATTTCCTCCAAAGCTCTTGGTTTTTTTCACTATAGGGTCTACGGCCTTTTTCGGAGCATAAGTTGTTTCTGTTGTAATGCAATTTGTTTTAATGCTATAGTTTTCAAACATTGCTTTATTATTATTATTCAGAAAAGTTACGTGATTATATGATAATTGTGCGGGTTTTGTGTTTGTCGCAACCAAGGCATTGTAACTTAGTAATAATAATAATAATAATACAGTAATAATATACAAGAAATGAGGAAGACAGGAACCAGTGAACTACATCATGTCACAGATTCCTTGCAAGTTCTTGCAGACATAAAAAGAGAGGACTCAAGTGGAGTACTTCAGAAAAAAATGTACTTTGTCTCTGAGTACCAACATAGCTTCAGTGAAAGTAAATTGTGTCGAACGAATGTTGCATCAAGCGTAGGCTTGGATTATTTTAAGAGTATGTATTTGATTTGTTTCAAGCGCAGATTAAGAATGTTTCAAGCGTAGGCTAGGAAGGTTTCAAGCGTAGGTTAGGAATGTTTTAAGCGTAGGTTAGTGTTTCAAACTTAGGTTAGACATGTGTGAATGTTTGATTGGATATAAATAGGAGTTGCCTTGCATGGACCAATAAGTCTTCTGCAGTATTTGCATTTCTGTGACATTGACAACTCAGAATGGAGGACAGAGACTGTGTATCTCTGAAAGCAAGTGAAACGAACAAGAAAACATTGTCAAAGCAAGCTCAATAAGCAACTTCAAAATGAAATACAAGAAACGTTTGGTTTAGTTCATTTATTATACACCCCATACATATCCTGTGGGTGGTGGTTGATCCCATACCCATTCTGTGGGCGGTATTTGACCTCATGCCCATCCTGTGGGCGGTGGTGGACCTCATCCCATCGTACACATCCCGTGGGTGGTAATGGACCCCATACACATTGAGAGGTAATGCATCCCATACCAATTCTGTGGGTAGTAATGAAAAAGATTACAGAAGCATATAATTGGCTTAGGAATTGAACCCCAAACTTAATTTAGCTAAGAAAGTCTTGATAAGCTAGCTACACAATTTTATGTATAATAGCAACAATGGATTCGAAAACGACTCGAGGCTAAGCAACTTCCATTTGCGGTGAGGTAGTTTCATAATTGATTTGGCTATTATGCACACCAACCCCTATCCAGTGGACTATGGTGGAAAGGTTACAATCACCCGCATGCTTTACCTGCAGTCTGCAAAACGGGGATATTTGACTAAAAATTTTGGTAGAAAATAATTTTGAATGAAAGAACATCTTGGTGAGTACACGGAGACACTGCTTAGACCGGCCTAAGATAAGTCTAGACAAGATGATTCTGAAGCATAATCCATGGTGAACATTCATCATTAAATGAATGTGTAAAAGATAACGTAGCCTAGTGTGCTGGGAGGGGTCGGAGATTACCTTAATGAGGAAAGGTGTGTAACACTACAACTCACGAATTAGATCGTTCACGGAGTATTCACGTCTCACCTGGGATTCCTGCCCGCTGTCTTATCTAAGGCTAGTAGATAAAATCCAAGAGAGGGTTTGACGTGGAGACTCTCCGACACAGAAGAGGTTTGTGCGGATAATTTACACCCTACAAAATTCATTCCGCTGAACCTCTCTACAACTCCCTGAACAACTGCCATAAGAGCTGTCATGTGTGACTGTCAGATAGTTGCTCTTTTTTGAAATAACAGTAAATATCGATGTTTTGTAAACATACAAACTTTGGAAGCTAGTTTTAGCGGCGGACTGGCGGCCACAACATATAACTAGCAACTACATGGCCAGTAAATGTATTTAGAGGGAGGGGTTATGTGTGTTGGGGGTCAGTGTGGACAAGGGCCCCATCGCACCTGTTCTGCCACACCTGCTGCTCCTCCATATCCTGTCGTCGTCACCATCGTGGACCCTTCACATGCACAGCAGAATAACCTCACGCCAAAGTCGTTTATGAATGCAAGTGCAATAGCTATAACAGACTGTATACAGGAAAGACTCGCATCTTTGATCACCTAATTGGTTAATCAGTTGTCATAGATCGTCTAATTATCAAAACAACTTAACTGGTGCCCAGGGGCGTCATCTCCTGATCAGCTTTTCTGTTGCTACTGGGATTGAACCCTATCTCCTCCCCTACCCATTACCACCCATCCTCCATGGCGACTCTGGAGGCATATGTATAAAATATGAGCTGTTGCGCACACAAAAGTTCTGGACTATTGCTATTCTAAAGGGCATACACAAAATTGCAACACTCTAGCGTAGCCTAATATATGATTTGTCGGAGACAGAAAATCTGTTACGTTTGTCGAGGTCCCTTCCAGCGACAAGCCTTCACCAGGCTGCAACCCACAACAGTCGTCTCACTCCTAGGCAGCTATTTACTGCTAGGCGGACACAGGCATCGAGTATAAGGAAACGTGTTCAATATACATATACTAAGCCTAGGAGAGGATAGGTTAGGTTTTGCATTTCTCGGATCCTTCACAATGTTATTTGTTAAAAACGTGGACATTTTTTTTAGGGAGGTGAGTGAGGGGGGATTGCCATGGTCCACTTTTTGTACATGTGGCTATATATGTTATTATTGGAGGACACATAGTTTTGACGCTGCTAATTATGTAGGGAAGAGTAACCTTGTTTTGACTGTTCTGAAGTTAGTTATTCGTTGTTCCCCCTTTAGTCAGACTTGCAAATTCATGTTTCATAGTAAATTCATGTTTCATTATTGGTAAAGATGTTGTTTTTGTTTATCATAGGATTTGTTTTTACATTGGCTTGTTTCTCGCATAGCCTTCGTTTCATATTGGATTTATTACAATTATAACTCAGTTGAACTTGTGGTTATAAAACAAGGCGCAACAGCATAAGCCTTTGACCTTGATATGAAGAGTTCAGGACTAAAGTAAACTCACAGTGTATATGCACCGAGTCGCGCTCCTCCCAACCCGTCCTCTTCAACACCACATAAGTATGATACACATACATTTTAACCTATCAAAACCCCCTCAACTGACGTACTAAAAATCATAGCTGCTCGCAAAATTAACGTAATGTCCCTGTTTTCTATTCGTGTGTTCTTAGGTTAAGTTCGGGCAGCTTAGTACATCGGTTTAGTGACGTTGGGAACGCAGAGGCAGCCCGTCCTTTTGAACTTTCACAACGTTACTAAACTTATGTATGTACTAAGTTGCCCGAACCTAACCTACCCGAGGCCAAACGTCAAAATCCGATGATGACTTTTAAGGACGGGTTGATGATGATAATAATGAATAAACTTAATGAATAAACCCACTATCTTCAATTTCATTCATTTCACCCATTTTATAACCACTGTAACATTAGCTACAGTACGTAAAGAAAACAATAATGGGTTCCTGAATTTATTATGAGTCTATATGTCTTCCAGATCATTTGTTAATTTTGATTTACGACAATAATGTCTGCGTTATAGTAAGAATTTTGACGCTCGTGACTAATGACTATACAAATATAATTATCAAATATATGTAATTCTTTGTTAATTTTACTCAATAATTTTTTGTAATAAGATGGTATTATGAATAATAATAATAATAATAATAAAACACACAAGTATTGGGCCTTTTCTTTATTTTCATTCAAGCACTACGATATTGTAGTAGGCTTCTCCATTATTATTATTATTAATATCGAAAACATTACTAAGTTAGAGTTACTTTAATAAAGCAACTAATATGAATAGTGTTTCGGAATTCTAACTACTAACCAACTTCATGATGATATTGCCCCCTAAAAAAAATTAAAATTGAAAGTGAACATGGATGAGCAGGCTCCCCGCAGACTAGGATAATCAGACAACCTGTGTACCTACGATTTAAAGGTCTGCCTCTGGTGTTTATTGACATATAGACGGCTGGTATCTGAACACGGTAAACACTTACTGCTATGTATGACCTTAGCAAACGAGCTGATTAGTTCCAGGAGCGGGTTAGAGGATATTAACACATAAGTAACCTACACGACGATTTACCAACAAGACATTAAATTAAAGACATTTGTAAGGGGAAAACTATAGATCATTAATCATCAGACAGAACAGGTAAGCATAGGACAAAACTCACACCACTGGGGCTCTTCACACCTGATAGTCAGGTCTAGACAAATGCGATATTGGTCACGGAGTCAATCCGTGTGAGGTCAGTTGAACTCTCGGTTGCAATTCTTTTAACCATGTCGTAGCACAGTCGATTAAGGCGCGTCTGGGATCCTCTGGGACGTAGGTTCGAACCCTCATTACGGCCCTTGTGGATTTGTTCATCTATATGTAAATCTGCGTAGGGTGAGCGCCATGCCCGCGCTCACATCTGGAATTGTTGTTATATAGGTAATATAATTATGTTTGTTTCATGTGGGGGGAAGGATCACGTATAATTTATCCAGCGGGCAAGGTTAACGGGGAGCCCGCATAGGACCCTCCCCATGCTCGGACAGGATCGAATATCCTATAGCCTGGTCCTAGCCTATCCCGATCAACCATGAAACCCATCTACACTTCTTTGTCTCTCTCTCTCTCTCTCTCTCTCTCTCTCTCTCTCTCTCTCTCTCTCTCTCTCTCTCTCTCTCTCTCTCTTTCTCTCTTTCTCTCTTTCTCTCTTTCTCTCTTTCTCTCTTTCTCTCTTTCTCGTCTCTGTCTCTGTCCGTCTCTCTGGTGACCGTAGCAAGTGACTGACTGTAGCTGATGTCTGATTAGTGACTGGCTGGTGACTGACCATAGTGGCAGTGGCTTGTGACTGGTGACTAGTGATTGGCTAGTGACTGATAAGTGACTAGTTTCTGACTGGGCTGTGACTTAACTATTATGACCGAAACAAACGTTACAAAACACGCGTGTATAATGAATCAATCAAAATAATACAACCATAGGCTATCAAAGTGACGCTGACAGGAGCGCAACATTGATGTTAATGACCCAAGAGTAAGTAGCAAGGATGCTCTCAACGTATCTATAAATATAATGGCTCGGGGGTAAGCTGATAAGCAGATAAGCGAAAACGCTCTTTATTAACTATTAAAACTTGTGGCTACGTTTCTCACTAGGGGTTACTAGTAATTAGATAATTAGATAATTTATGTATTAAAGATCAGACACTTTTTGACTCCTATTGATAGGATGAGAGCTTTCCCTTCCCATATCTCATGGGAAAGCCTTACTCTATTATTTTTCCCAGGAGCTGAACGACTCGCAAATTGGTTTACAACCAGGTCCCGAATTTACTGCTGGGTGAACAGGGTTAAATAGATTGGCGTCCAGTCAATCCTCCCTCTCCGAGGCTCGAACCCAAATGAAATCGCTCGCGAGATATATAACAACTATTACAACACGTATGATTGATCCGTAAAATAGGCCGTGTTCATATTGAAAAAATCAACAAACTATTAATATATTTACCAACCTCATTCTCTTATCTCGGGATTTGTTATTGTGGAGAGAGAGATTGGCGTCTGATTCAGCAAAGTTGAGGCGGGAAGCTTATTCTTAACTTATTCTTGTGTTTCACACTAATTGTTGCTTCAGTATCCTCTCTTATTTTTTTTTTAAATTAACATACACATCTACTGTTAGGTAATACGTAATTAAACAAGATATATATGGAGAGTTTGAGAGAAAAGTAGGGAGGCTGGCTGGCGTGTACCTCCTCTCGCGTGCCAGCCTCCACTAAGCACCGACAATTTCGAACACGTCATTATTATTTTGCATATATCGCGCACACAAATATTGAAATATTTCAATACTCTTTGTCAAATGCCGCACCGTATACCAGCGTGTATTTGGCAGCCAGGAATTGGTGGGATTTTATATGGTAGATGAGGCTCAAATGTTCAATGTTGGCCGGATATATTCCAAGAGTGATGATCAAATTTACTTTCTGTAATTTCATGTCATAATGCCCCAGCGTTGAACCCCCCTATCTAAAGAAACAAAACGGAACTAGCAAAAGCCCAACAACTATTCAACAAGGCTTGTTCATGAGCTAAGGGAACTGAGCTATGAAGAAAGGATGAGGGAATTGGACCTCATTACACTGACTACACTGGAGGAAAGGAGGAATAGGGCAGACATGATAACGGCGTACAAGATACTAAAGGGGTTAACAAAGTAGATAGAGAAGCAGTGTTCAAATTAAAGGAAAGTAGAACGAGAACACACACACACACACAGTTGTGTCTTGAGTTGACAGGCGGGACCAAAGAGCCAAAGCTCAGTCCAATTAGCCTTTCCTCGCAGCTTATACCTCTCAGTTCTGGGACTAGTCTGGTGGCATACATCAATTGATTTTCAGCTGAGAGGCGGGACTAAAGAGCCAGAGCTCAACCCACGCAAGCACAACTGAATGAGTACAACTAGGTGAGTACATCTGAATCTTTTCTAACTTTGTCTTGTGTTTAACTAGGTATGGACTCCAGGCTGGGGCTGCAGTGTAAACCTGCAAAAGCAGACATCATATTAAGAGACCAGTGCAGCTTTGTAGTTACTTTGGATAAGGATAATGATGATGCTGTATATAATGATGTCGATTATGATGCTTATAATGAATCATATTTTATATTATATATATCACTACCTTATTTATCACCACTGACGGTATATATATCACTACCTTATTTATCAGCACTGACAGAGTTCTTTCTAACGTTATCACATAATGATCATTTTGGCGGGAAGCATATTCGGACCACCAAGACCCACCCTGCTAACAGACCCCCCCAAGTTCCCAGACAGCTCAAGACCCCCCAGGAAAAGTAGACTCCACAGCCCCCCCCTTCACCCCCTCCGACCCCCTACTGTCAGGAATATGGCTTGGCGCGTGCGGCCATCGGCCCCCACCAACCTCCTTAAGACCGAGTTTCATCCTGGCTTAATCTCATGGCTCAATCTGTAATTGTTTGGTAGTGTTGTGAAGGCAGTGTCTCGGATCATGGTAATTCTAAGCACAAGTGAGGCATATAAGAGGCAGTGCATGGAGCTTGGAGGCTGGGGGCTGGGGGTGTTGTGTCAGGGGTTGGGACAAGCCTCGGGGGCTACAGCTGCACCGAGAGGAAAGCGGGAAAAAAGCCCGCCAAAACGTTCATATAATGGCACATAATTATTTACTCATTTTTACAGCATTTGCCTATTTTTGTTTACTTTTTAATGTACCTATGGATAATAATAATGAACTGATTGATTGGTAAGTGACTTCTCAGTCGCCGTAGGAACGTGGACAATCGTAATAAATTTGTGCTTCATAAACACAATATTAATCTAACCTTTCAGTAGTCAGAAGGGCTACTGAAGGGCAAGCCACACTCAGCTGTCCTCTGTCCTCATGAGGAGAGCCTTCCAAGAGGACATAATGCAAATAATGATCATCATCGGAATCCCCGTTATCAACTCTGTTGGAATGGAAGCGTCAGAGAAGATAGGAGAGCAGTATGGGGGGAAAAGTTGTCTTAATTTGGTGATACAGTCAAAACTACTGACTCACATTGCATCATTGTGTAATGTAGAGGCCAAGATATCGCTAACGTTAAAGAGATTTTTAAATATTTAGGTAAAATAGTATATTATTTAATCTGACAGTGTTCAAGATGTTTGCTCGACACACATCTCCAAATAATACCTGATCAACCAGGCTGTGATTCATACGTCAGGCTGCGAGCAGCAGCATCCAACAGCCTGGGTGACCAGACGACCAACCGGGAGGCCTGGTCGGAGACCGGGCCGCGGGACGTTGAACCCCGAAAGCTACACAAGGTAGCTTTAAGTATCCCAAGTTTGCGTATAGTAGGTATCGCATACACTAGTCTGTAACATCTACTGGTGAAGATTTGACTAAATGTAAACTCTGTCGGCAGAACTATTCGCATACTTTGCATTATTATATAATGGAATATGAAAAAATAGCGGAATTCAAAGATAACACCATCAATGGAGTCCAAGAAGTGTGTAAGTACTTCATTCATAATGATCTACTGCCGGGAATCTGCTGGGAATATGATAGGCACACGAAAGCTCAATATATAATGTATTCAACGCGAATGTCAAGTGTTTAGCCAAAAGAGCACTTTGATCCAGCAGGAACCCATTGTATGATATTGAAACCTGTTAGGAGTTACTCCCAGAGCAGTAGAGCTCTGGGAGTAGTTTCTAACATGTTGCTACTTCAAGATCCACTTATCATGTTTACTTGAGTAAGATTATGGGTTTAGAAGACGTCAATTTGCATTAGTGTAGATCCTAATAAATTCATTAGGCTATTCCATATCATCAACTTCTTTGTGCTGTTAGAATTGTTCGAATGAATGAAGTGAGTTAACGCTTAATTGCAAAATAGCAATAAGTAAGTAATTATCAGCACAAGGCACCAAGCCGGGGAGGCTATGTAGCACTGTAAAATAGCAATAAAACATATAATACTGTACTTATTAATTCCCATTGACGGAATTAAGAGGCTGAGGATGATAAACTTATGTTTATCAAAGTTTCCCTAGGCCATCTACTCACCTTTCCTTGGTTGCAACCCACAACAGCTACCTAACTCCCAGGTATATATTTTACTGCTAGGTGAACAGAAGCATCAGGTGAAAGGAAACGTGCCGAACCGTTTAGATCCTACCTGAGCATTGAATCCGGATTCCTTCTGTTGTGAGCTGAGGATGTAAACCAATGTTATTCCTCAGTTTTATCTTCCTCTCGCTAAATCCCATTTAGATTATGCACTTCAATTTTGGTCGCCGTACTATTGAACTGACATAATTTCACTTGTAAGAGCACAGAGAAGGATAACTAAAGATAATCCCAGGAATTAGAAACTTCCTATATGAAGAGAGATTAAGAAAGCCTAATTTACATTCTCTAGAAAGACGACGAGCATTAGATGACATGATTGAGGTGTACAAATAGATGAAATGGAGAGAATTTAACAAGGGGCATATTAATAAGGTATTAAACATATAGACAAAAACGAAAACTCAAAAGAGTGGATATAAATTTGATAAGTTTAGTTAGAAAAGATCTGGGTTAATGCTGGTTTGAAAATAGGGTTGTTGATCTGAAGAACGCATTTTTGGGTAATTTAATAGAATGGGCTCAAAGGATTGTTTCACGCGTAGGTTAGACATATATGTGAATGAGTTGGGTGGATAGAAACTGCCTTGTATTTGCCAATAAGTTTTCTGCAGTTTCCGTTATTCTTGTGTTCTTATGTAAGGTAAATACAGTATTAATAATACTTTGAAACCCAAGTTAATGCAATAATCCAGGTACATTGAAAACTAGGTTAATGCAATATTGATTGAAATACAATATTTTGAAAACAATACAAATGTCTTGTATTAACCAAAGATACCATAGATGTTTAATTAAGGGAGCATTACGATCAGAGAACCATAGGTAGCAGACCCTAAGAAGAGTGGCGGAGAGGATGTTGTTATAGATTCAGCTACTCGGAACAAGTTCCAAGTAGCACGGGCTATGGTGAGCCCGTAGCTTACCTGGCACAGGAGCAGTGCTGTGTGTATGGCGGAGAGGAGCGCGGGAGAAAGGTGAGAGTGGAAGGAGAGTGGGGAGGCAGGGAGGTACAGAAGGGAGAGGTGAGGGGGGAGACCCAGCCTGAGATCCTGGGAGACTAGACCGTCCCCCACTCCCCACCCTGCCCCTATTACCTCACGCTCTAGCTGTCCTTCCCGCCTCAGTTATATCATGTGTTCAAGTTTATGTTTCAATAATGCTACATAAGAGGATGGGTAATTATGTATATAATTACATATGTGTATATAATTACGTAATTGGGAGTACATCTATAGGACCTGTTCGTGTCTTCCTATATAATTCCAATTTGCAATTCAAGTTTCCTTTCCCAATACTTGGAAGGCATTTCAGCTTAAATACCCACATGTCTTAATTTTTAGTACAGAAATATCATCCCAAGGAATGCTAATTAACTTCAAATATGGAACCTATAGCTATATATTAATTTGCGTCAATGCTTTACGGGCTATTCATGCCCGTGCCACCTCTTGGTTGGCTTACCCTTCAACAATCAAGGAATGCAGGAAATAATAAAAAAGTATTAAACAATATCATTATTTTAACTTTGTTATTATGACACTTTACCTTATAAACTGTGCAGTTGTTGGTTTCTGGTTGTGTTTGGAGCTGTCAATGATTATTTCCAATTTTATCTTTTAGATTAATTAATAAAATAATTCCGTTTATTTGTTATTTATTTACAAAAAGGTACAATGGGTTTGCGAGAGTACATAATATTGGTATTTTTACATTCTTGCAAAGCCACTAACACGCATAGCGTTTCGGGCAGGCAGTTATTTAAGCCAGCTTCTGTGCTGTTTAGCTTTAATGGAACATAATAAACATACTTGAAGATATACCCTCTTATTTGACGTGAAGTTATATAAAGAGAACAGCACCACAAGCAATATAAGTTGAGTGTGACGCTAGGGCGTGCGCAGAGCGGCGATGAGCGGCGTAGCGCGACACCGCGGGAGTTGTGTTTATGTCAGGGATGATCAGCTGGTGCGGCTGCTGCGGATTTCGGATTTGGCGCGCTTTGACGTCACACTCTCCAACCAATCCTAAGAGCGCAGCGTTGGCTCACGTTCCAATTGTTGAAAGGGTCATTGTGCTCTGGCGCTCAGAATATCCTTTTTATCTTTTACCCCACATCTTGATTTCAAACCCGGTAAGACTACTTAGATTGCGGATATTATTACGAAACGTTTAATATATTTTACTCAATGCTTTATACTTACGTGGAAGAATAAAACTCAATGTTTACATTCGAGAGTTTCTGCGGCGTTTTAGGAGAACTTACTGAAAGTTTGGGGAGAGACTAACCAATCAACGCTCGAGTTGAGGTCAGGCTCCGCCCAGCTGATTTTGGCGGCGAGGAGGCGAGCCCGCGCTGGGCCCAGACTGCTCTCCGTCCCTGGGTCCACTCAACCATGGTGCCCCAGCTCTGAGTATCTCAACCCGTATTATCAAGGTAAACTGGTATTTTAGTGTTCAAGTGTGGAGATGTGATGGAGGGAAGCGTTACGGATCTATATCAATTGCTTGAGTGTGTGGATATACCTGCTAGGAGCTTGGAATTAAGAAGGTAAGTGAGTGATGCTCGGTTCAGGATTATCCCGGGACACTCTCCGGACAGAAAGACGTAAGATGGGTTGCCTTCTTAAAATTGAAGCCAAAGAGCCAATTTATTGGTTAATATCATGTAATATTACGTGAAGGTGGACAAGCTTGCACTAGAATCATCACCAGTGGTGTATGCAAGTACGAAATAAGATAAATTAAGCCAATATGCTGCTTTATTATAGAGTTCATTGCATCCAGCGCCGTCGAGGCCACAAAGGATAACAAGCCTGATTTTGCAGCCTCTAAATAGCTTCAGTTGTCTGACTTGCAGTTGTATTTCAACGTCACGTAAAAGCCGAGGTTTTGTCCTTGATGTGAGATTACTGGCGAGGGAAATAATTGAGAGAATGGGTGGATGTGAGGGAGAAGAGGCAGGTGGAGGGCTGGCGGTTGGCGGGCAAACTAGCCGCCCGGGCGGGTCTTCCTCAACACCTGGACATTTCTGCACCCTGACTCCTGCCTCTCTCTCCTTATGCCAGCAACCTGCATGTATAGGCAAGTGTAGCGCACGGCAGGTATGGCGTAGGGGGATGACCAGGTGGGCAATTCCAGGTAAGACTAATAACTTCAGTCCCCGCGCGGGAAACTAGTATTTTTTGCGGGGGACGTAAAGCTGCCCCTTTAAAAAGTATTTTAGGGAGTGCCAAGTCAAGGGAATTCTTAGTGAGGTATATGGAAGGCTGCAATGTATGTTCTATATAGATCATTAGATATTTGTTACATAATTGGCTTTAATTAAAGCAGTGTTGTGTTGAGAGCATGTTCATCTCTTGAGGTTAGTCACTGTTGAGTGGACTTGAAACAATTTAACAAGGAATTTATCTCTAATAATATTTTACCTTGAGCTGCACAAAATTCTAGCCTGCGTGTACTTGGGTAACCTATACATTCATTATTTGTGGTTCTTTTACACTACCATACTGTACTTTTATTTTTCCTAGAATCTCAAATCAAAACCCAATGAGAAAGATTAGTTATGTAGGGGGGCGTACATGATTGAAGGATTGTGTTGCTTCATTAGCCATAACTGCTGTCTTTTGCAATGCTGGTGGTATATGGACAGGTATCTAATGTAGATACAGTATTTTGGTATAATAGAGGTACCAACTTCCTTCCCAGGCCCTGTAAGCATCACCAGACCTTCACTACCGATCACCACCCACACAGCCTCATGTCTCAGAACCAGAGAAGGTATGTGGTCTTGCTCATGTGAGGGTATCACAATTTATCACGTCTCTTGATTAACAGAGAGCAATAGTTATAGGAATGGATATTCACATTGTGCTACAGTGGAGTACAGGACTTGAAATGTAAGTTCTTCATCATGCAATATACAAGTAGTTTATCTACCAGCTGGGGTTTTTGCAAATAAGTGTATTGTAATGTTTTAATTCATAAGTGTAGTGTAATACTGCAGTGTTTTTTGTCTAACAAGGACAGCAGTAATGAAGATGTAGGTTCATTATCAAGCTCGGTTCAGAATTCTTGTTAAACAATGGTTTTCAGACAGAAAAATGGTTCACTGTCAACTAGAACTAAACCAGCCATTTTAAGGACAAGGAAGAGGAGGAGCTCTGAGAATGATGAAGATGAAAGACAAGTGAAGCAGGCACGCTTAGAACCCTCGGAGATGGTAAGAAACCATGAGTAATCGGTTGTGAGGTTAATAAGTACAGTACTCTGAATTTCTTTCTAATGCATAAATATTTTTCACATACACATCAATATGTATATACATACATATACATACATGAATGCACGAACATACATGTACATATAAACATGCACACAATTTTAAATAGAGTAATCTGAATAATGTATACATGCAAAGGTGTGACACTGTTGAATGCCTTTCCATACCTAGGGACACTAGGTGCATGCAATGGCATATTGGGAAGAGTCCTAAGGTGTGCAAGACTCCCTCTTGGGAAGAAAGCAAAGGATTATATTGAAAACAGGGGTTGTGAGTGGAGTACCACAAGGGTTGGTGCTAAGACTCGTCCTGTTTCTAATTCTGTACGTATCAATGACCAGACAGGAAATTTACTCCTTCATGTCAATGTTTTCAGACAATGCATAACTAATAAGAAGTCAGGACAAAGAGACTTGATACCCTGTAAACTGATCTGGACAGACTGGATCCAGAGTACTCACCTAGTTGTACTCGCCTAGTTGTGCTTGCAGGGGTTGAGCCTTGGCTCTTTGGTCCCGCCTCTCAACCGTCAATCAATTGATGTACAGATTCCTGTGTGTGTGTAGTTACTTTGTTTGGGCGTGAACCCAAAACATGGCAAACAGTTGTCAATGGGTGTAAGGAGACTTGCCCATACATCTTGCCCTGCTTAGGATGAGAGTGCACGAGAGTGCGTGAGTGCACGAGAGAGAGTGCGTGAGTGCACGAGAGAGAGTGCGTGAGTGCACGAGAGAGAGTGCGTGAGTGCACGAGAGAGAGTGCGGGAGTGCACGAGAGAGTGCGGGAGTGCACGAGAGTGCGGGAGTGCACGAGAGAGAGTGCGGGAGTGCACGAGAGAGAGTGCGGGAGTGCACGAGAGAGAGTGCGGGAGTGCACGAGAGAGAGTGCGGGAGTGCACGAGAGAGAGTGCGGGAGTGCACGAGAGAGAGTGCGGGAGTGCACGAGAGAGAGTGCGGGAGTGCACGAGAGAGAGTGCGGGAGTGCACGAGAGAGAGTGCGGGAGTGCACGAGAGAGAGTGCGGGAGTGCACGAGAGAGAGTGCGGGAGTGCACGAGAGAGAGTGCGGGAGTGCACGAGAGAGAGTGCGGGAGTGCACGAGAGAGAGTGCGGGAGTGCACGAGAGAGAGTGCGGGAGTGCACGAGAGAGAGTGCGGGAGTGCACGAGAGAGAGTGCGGGAGTGCACGAGAGAGAGTGCGGGAGTGCACGAGAGAGAGTGCGGGAGTGCACGAGAGAGAGTGCGGGAGTGCACGAGAGAGAGTGCGGGAGTGCACGAGAGAGAGTGCGGGAGTGCACGAGAGAGAGTGCGGGAGTGCACGAGAGAGAGTGCGGGAGTGCACGAGAGAGAGTGCGGGAGTGCACGAGAGAGAGTGCGGGAGTGCACGAGAGAGAGTGCGGGAGTGCACGAGAGAGAGTGCGGGAGTGCACGAGAGAGAGTGCGGGAGTGCACGAGAGAGAGTGCGGGAGTGCACGAGAGAGAGTGCGGGAGTGCACGAGAGAGAGTGCGGGAGTGCACGAGAGAGAGTGCGGGAGTGCACGAGAGAGAGTGCGGGAGTGCACGAGAGAGAGTGCGGGAGTGCACGAGAGAGAGTGCGGGAGTGCACGAGAGAGAGTGCGGGAGTGCACGAGAGAGAGTGCGGGAGTGCACGAGAGTGAGTGCGGGAGTGCACGAGAGTGAGTGCGGGAGTGCACGAGAGTGAGTGCGGGAGTGCACGAGAGTGCGGGAGTGCACGAGAGAGAGTGCGGGAGTGCACGAGAGAGAGTGCGGGAGTGCACGAGAGAGAGTGCGGGAGTGCACGAGAGAGAGTGCGGGAGTGCACGAGAGAGAGTGCGGGAGTGCACGAGAGAGAGTGCGGGAGTGCACGAGAGAGAGTGCGGGGAGAGTACAAGTGCAAGAGCGTGCAAGAGGGAGTATGAGCGTGCACGAGGGAGTACGAGCGTGCAAGAGCGTGCACGAGGGAGTTCGAGCGTGCAAGAGCGTGCACGAGGGAGTACGAGCGTGCAAGAGCGTGCACGAGGGAGTACGAGCGTGCAAGAGCGTGCACGAGGGAGTACGAGCGTGCACGAGGGAGTACGAGCGTGCACGAGGGAATACGAGCGTGCACGAAGGAGTACGAGCGTGCACGAGGGAGTACGAGCGTGCAAGAGCGTGCAAGAGCGTGCACGAGGGAGTACGGGCGTGCAAGAGCGTGCACGAGGGAGTACGGGCGTGCACGAGGGAGTACGGGCGTGCAAGAGCGTGCACGAGGGAGTACGGGCGTGCAAGAGCGTGCACGAGGGAGTACGGGCGTGCACGAGGGAGTATGAGCGTGCAAGAGCGTGCACGAGGGAGTACGAGCGTGCAAGAGCGTGCACGAGGGAGTATGAGCGTGCACGAGCGTGCACGAGCGAGTACGAGCGTGCACGAGCGTGCACGAGCGAGCACGAGCGTGCACGAGCGAGAACGAGCGAGCACGAGCGTGCACGAGCGAGTACGAGCGTGCACGAGCGAGTACGAGCGTGCACGAGCGAGTACGAGCGTGCACGAGCGAGTACGAGCGTGCACGAGCGAGTACGAGCGCGCAAGAGGGAGTACGAGCGCGCAAGAGCGTGCACGAGGGAGTACGAGCGCGCAAGAGCGTGCACGAGGGAGTACGAGCGCGCAAGAGCGTGCACGAGGGAGTACGAGCGCGCAAGAGCGTGCACGAGGGAGTACGAGCGCGCAAGAGCGTGCACGAGGGAGTACGAGCGCGCAAGAGCGTGCACGAGGGAGTACGAGCGCGCAAGAGCGTGCACGAGGGAGTACGAGCGCGCAAGAGCGTGCACGAGGGAGTACGAGCGCGCAAGAGCGTGCACGAGGGAGTACGAGCGCGCAAGAGCGTGCACGAGGGAGTACGAGCGTGCACGAGGGAGTACGAGCGCGCAAGAGCGCGCACGAGGGAGTACGAGCGCGCAAGAGCGCGCACGAGGGAGTACGAGCGCGCAAGAGCGCGCACGAGGGAGTACGAGCGCGCAAGAGCGTGCACGAGGGAGTACGAGCGCGCAAGAGCGTGCACGAGGGAGTACGAGCGCGCAAGAGCGTGCACGAGGGAGTACGAGCGCGCAAGAGCGTGCACGAGGGAGTACGAGCGCGCAAGAGCGTGCACGAGGGAGTACGAGCGCGCAAGAGCGTGCACGAGGGAGTACGAGCGCGCAAGAGCGTGCACGAGGGAGTACGAGCGCGCAAGAGCGTGCACGAGGGAGTACGAGCGCGCAAGAGCGTGCACGAGGGAGTACGAGCGCGCAAGAGCGTGCACGAGGGAGTACGAGCGCGCAAGAGCGTGCACGAGGGAGTACGAGCGCGCAAGAGCGTGCACGAGGGAGTACGAGCGCGCAAGAGCGTGCACGAGGGAGTACGAGCGCGCAAGAGCGTGCACGAGGGAGTACGAGCGCGCAAGAGCGTGCACGAGGGAGTACGAGCGCGCAAGAGCGTGCACGAGGGAGTACGAGCGCGCAAGAGCGTGCACGAGGGAGTACGAGCGCGCAAGAGCGTGCACGAGGGAGTACGAGCGCGCAAGAGCGTGCACGAGGGAGTACGAGCGCGCAAGAGCGTGCACGAGGGAGTACGAGCGCGCAAGAGCGTGCACGAGGGAGTACGAGCGCGCAAGAGCGTGCACGAGGGAGTACGAGCGCGCAAGAGCGTGCACGAGGGAGTACGAGCGCGCACGAGGGAGTACGAGCGCGCAAGAGCGCGCACGAGGGAGTACGAGCGCGCAAGAGCGCGCACGAGGGAGTACGAGCGCGCACGAGGGAGTACGAGCGCGCACGAGGGAGTACGAGCGCGCACGAGGGAGTACGAGCGCGCAAGAGCGCGCACGAGGGAGTACGAGCGCGCAAGAGCGCGCACGAGGGAGTAAGAGCGCGCACGAGGGAGTACGAGCGCGCAAGAGCGCGCACGAGGGTGTACGAGCGCGCAAGAGCGTGCACGAGGGAGTACGAGCGCGCAAGGGCGTGCACGAGGGAGTACGAGCGCGCAAGGGCGTGCACGAGGGAGTACGAGCGCGCAAGGGCGTGCACGAGGGAGTACGAGCGCGCAAGGGCGTGCACGAGGGTGTACGAGCGCGCAAGGGCGTGCACGAGGGAGTACGAGCGCGCAAGGGCGTGCACGAGGGAGTACGAGCGTGCACGAGAGAGTACGAGCGTGCACGAGAGAGTACGAGCGTGCAAGAGTGTGCACAAGAGAGTACGAGCGTGCAAGAGCGCGCACGAGAGAGTACGGGGGGGAGAGAGAGAGAGAGAGAAATTGAGAGACATTAATTGCAAGTGTGTGAAGGTATGAGTGAGTGCAAGAGTGCGATAGAATGAGTGCTAAATGCCAAATTATTATTATTATTTTTTTAGAACCTTATTCATCTTTTATTTTACATTGTCCTCTATACCACAATTTCATTATTTTTTCCATTTTTGCTTTGATTGCCTTCTGTCATACACAGAGTAGTTAACAAATGGAATGCACTAGGAAGTGATGTGGTGGAAGCAGACTCCATACACAGTTTCAAATGTAGTTATCATTGAGCCAGTAGGCTCAGGAATATGTACACCAGTTGATTGACGGTTAAGAGGCGGAACCAGAGATCCAAAGCTCAACCCCTACAAGCACAATTAGGTGAAAACACACAACATTCAAGTAATGCATGATTAATGGATGTGCTGTGTCCTTTACTGCAGACAGGGCGTGTTTCCTTGGAGTTTGTGTGTCTGTGACAGATTACATAATGTTTTTTATTTTTTTCCAGAGATGATATTATTGCTGTACAGTACTGTACTTTAAATCCTTTGTAAATTAATTTCTACTTGTATTGTATTTAAATATTTTCTCCAGAAGTTTTTTTAATCTGTGCTGACTGTGTTCCGCCAGTTTAAGCCCCTTAGTTATGTTGATTTACTTGTGAACAGCCTCAGCCACTTGGCGACGTGACATCAAGTCTCAACGTGGAGAGGGAGCGGTCGATCACCCCTGACAACCCGGTTCCGGACACCTGGAACAAGTATGCAGGCTTAAATATTAGCGTCAGAATTTGTTTCTTAACTGGGGATGTCATGAATTATGAAATTAAAATACCAGCCTTTCTTAATTTTTTTTGTACCATTCACATAATTACAATGTAGATAAGCTTAGAGTGGACTAATGTTTATTTTCTTCAGGTTTAGGGGCCTGACTTGCATCTCGACCCCACAGTCGACTAGGAAGCTGCCACTGCCAAAGCTCAGTTGGGCTGACCAAGGCGAGGTGTGGGCACTCATGTGCCGAAAAGATCGCCTTTACCCTCGATGCCCAGACTACCTCAATCAACATCCTTCTCTACAAGCAAGAATGAGGGCTATTCTTTTAGACTGGCTGACAGAGGTAACCTTCTCCCTGGTCTGGTAGTTTGTAGGAGTGAAACCATATATTTTGAGCCACTGGACTTTAGTATTGCTCTGTACTTTAACCATTGTGTGTTGCTGTAACCATTGTGTATTTACAAGCTCAATTTCAGAAATATTTGTAGCTGAATATTTTTGGAATTATTTAGTACTCATTAGATATACTGTACTTGGTTAGGATGCCTTTTGGAAAGACCACAATTTCTGATACTTGACAAATTTAATCCTAGAGATCAATTGCATAATGAAAGATCCTCATTGAGGGAAAAGGGAGTTTTAGAGCAAGAATAATACTTGGCAAACTTTTTTTTTGTAGTGATTCTTCTCCGAGCTGAGGATTCTGGTGAAAGGTGCTTTTTCATTCTCTGACCACGGCTTGATTGTGATTTTCACTTAAGTCTAGGTTTTTGTGAGAAATGTAATGTTTGGGTTTAGATCATAACCACCACCTGGAAGTAGTGATTTATTGGGTGGTTATGTACAGTATTTAGCCAGGGCATAGATTGCTGGGTTTTGCCTGGAATTCTTTCACTATTTTTTTTTTTTTTTTGGCTGGATTAAGTATTCTCTATTTTTGTTAACACTAGAATGGTGTGATAGTGATGGTGTGGCAGGTCCTAACTAGAGGTAAGCAAGATCTTGCACTAGGGAGCTACTGAGATTACTGTTGGAAAATTAATTTTCAGACATATATAGTAAAAGTTAAGTTTTCAAAGTGAGTATCATAATTGCAACCCTGTATTACTATATAGCACTTGGAGACAGATGCAAATTGAGTGCTGGAATGGTATCATTCAGTTGGATTATCAGGGTCAACATGATTGGCTAATGTGTTAAGAATTTGTGTGTGCAATGTGATACAAGTTTAGTAGAAACAGATATCTTGTGCCCCACAAATGACTAATGATTTTACTTTATATGTTGTCTAACATCCACAAAGGGTTAAGATTAAGAGTACATGTGGTGTTAGGACTGCGGGGCACATAAAGCACAGAAGGTCGTGTGAGTAAACCTTTGGAAGAAGTTTTGTTGCTTGAAAGACGATTGATCATATGGAAGATAATACCAGTACTGTACATAATTAACAGAATATTATGGTACAGTATAGTGGGTGGATTGCATAGATCTTGCTTGCTGAAGTATACAAGTAGCAGCTTGAAGGTTGTATCAATGAATAGTTAATAATATTAATAATAATATTTTAGCTTTATTATAGTAACCATTTTGCTTGGGGTTTGATATAATGTTTAGTACCGTGTTGACCAGGTATGTGAAGTATATAGGCTACATCGTGAGACATATTACCTTGCCACCGACTTCATTGACCGCTACCTCAGCGCAACAAAAGATGTTCCCAAACAACAACTCCAGCTCATAGGTTAGTATGGTTGATTTATCCGTAAGTATAAAATAACTTTTTTATTCGGCAGATTTATAAACTAAGTTTTAAATGTTTATTAAAACTGTTTTGGTTTTGAGAATACAAATGCATTTTAAAGTTTCAGTTATCAATTTTTTTTATAAATATATAGAGTACATGGGGAAACAAATCTGGCAATTGCCTTCATATATCAGATTGTAATCTTCAAAACTTGGTATGCTCCCCAAGCACAATTTTAAACCATTTTATCAGAGAGTATAATTTTATAAAGATACTTTTTAGAATTTAATTTTTTGGGGATTTCTGGTGTTTTGAAGGGAATTTTGTATATAAAGATTAACCATACTGCTCAGTGAATGCCAGATTACTAATGTCCCTTCCTGAGCAGTGTAGGTTGTGCACACAGTGCAGTCAGTGGGTACTGTATGGAGATATTTTGTCCAGAAATTTATGCATGTTTGTTTTTTTATTTTCTAGGTATAACATGTTTATTCATAGCGGCAAAAATAGAAGAAATATACCCACCAAAGCTATCTGAATTTGCTTATGTGACTGACGGTGCTTGCATGGATAATGAAATCTTGGAGAAGGAGCTAGTCATTTTAAAGGTATGTTCATTTTTTTTACTATGGGCTAATAATTGTTATACAGTGGTGTCTTGCTCAAATTGACCTAGGTTTGAGCCAATAATTATGACTGGACATGCCTTGATTTTCCAGATTAACAAGGAAATAGGTTGAAGTTTTGCTTTAAATTAAAGATTCTGCTTCATGGGATTTTGGTAACAATGTGTTCGAGTATGTTCTATTGTCCACACTTATAAAACGTGGCACAAAAATAAATACGGAAAATGTTGCAATGGAAGGCCTAGGAATCTTGAGGTTATCTTGAGATGATTTCGGGGCTTTAAGTGTCCCCGCGGCCCGGTCTTCGACCAGGCCTCCACCCCCAGGAAGCAGCCCGTGACAGCTGACTAACTCCCAGGTACCTATTTTACTGCTAGGTAACAGAGGCATAGGGTGAAAGAAACTGTCCATTGTTTCTCGCCGGCGCCCAGGATCGATCCCGGGACCACAGGATCACGTGTCTAGCGTGCTGTCCGCTCGGCCGACCGGCTCCCTGTTCGTCAATTTGAATAAGACATTACTCAGTTTTTTTCTCCAGCCTCCTGTTTGCTTAAATAATATGAATTCCTGAACCATCGCCTCCCTGCCACCCTTGTGTGATCAAAATACTGTACAATCTCGATTTAACATACTATATGGGATGAACCTCAATTCATTGTAACCAGAAGTGCCTCCAAAGTGCAGTTCCCATGCTCTGTGGACTAATTTAATTTCACTTGACAAAATTTTGGTTTCAATCTTTAATATAATAGACAATTCTCAAGTGAACATGTTTGCAAAAAAAAAATAACCCTATCTAGCTTATTTCTTGAAGTGCAAAAATCACTAAATTTCTGATCTTAAGAAACAGCTTTATTTCTATTTTAATGACATTTTATTATCATGGCTTTGTTTCCAATATCTTGGCTAATTTCCCTCGTGTCTTGTCTTTCCAGTACAGTGCATGTAAATTGAAAATGAGTGATAATAAATTGTATTATAATTTGTAATGCATTCTTGACATAAAGTTTAAAGTTTTATTGTATCAAATTGCAGAAACTTAACTGGGATCTCTCCCCTATCACATCAAACTGTTGGTTAAATACGTATCTACAACTGGCACAAGAGCATGCCCATAGAGAATCTGGGAACAGTGAGGCGGGCACTGACGAGCACAGCTTTGTCTTCCCTCGATACTCTCCCCTCAAGTTTGTTCAGGTAGGTTGGACATCACGGTTATCTTGAGATGATTTCGGGGCTTTAGTGTCCCCGCGGCCCGGTCCTCAACCAGGCCTCCACCCCCAGGAAGCAGCCCGTGACAGCTGACTAACACCCAGGTACCTATTTTACTGCTAGGTAACAGGGGCATAGGGTGAAAGAAACTGCCCATTGTTTCTCGCCGGCGCCCGGGATTGAACCCGGGACCACAGGATCACAAGTCCAGCGTGCTGTCCGCTCGGCCGACCGGCTCCCTACGGTATGGGAACTTGCAGAAGTTCTGAAGTGCTTTCAACTTGTTTTATCCCCCCTCCTTCCCTGGTACATTTTATACTGTGCTCGTATTATATAATCTTGCTCATTATCCTTACCACATGCAGGATGACAGTACTGATGTGTACTCTGTAATCCTAATATTTCTTGTGCACATTACAGTTCCTGCCACTCATCACTGTTTACCTGTACCCACACTGCCACACTGCAGCAGTCATCCACCACCCACACAACCAGACTGCAGCAGTCATCCACCACCCACACAACCAATGACTGCAGCAGTCATCCATCACCCACACAACCAGACCACAGCAGTCATCCATCACCCACACAACCAGACCACAACAGTCACCCATCACTTACACAACCAGACCACAGCAGTCATCCAACACCCACACAACCAGACCACAGCAGTCATCCATCACCCACACAACCAGACCACAACAGTCACCCATCACTTACACAACCAGACCACAGCAGTCATCCATCACCCACACAACCAGACCACAACTGTCACCCATCACCCTCAACCACACTTATGCTCTCTCTCTCCCTCTCTCTCTGTCTGTCTCTCTTTCTGTCTCTCGCTCTTTCTTTCCCTCACCACCCACCCTCACCATTACACCACTTGAGATGCCACAGGTCCTGGGATACCTGTGACAATATAAATATAATATACATTGTATTTCTGATACAAACAAAATGTGTACCTCTTTTCTTTACTCGTTAATTTATTCGACATCCTGAATAACCTGTGTACTCCAATGTAATGCCTAAATTCATGGTTTTGTATTCATTATACTGGAACACATTGTGCTGTTCTCATACAGTACACTGTTCATTACAGCACTGTGTAGAGTGCTCAGTATTGTTAAACACCACATTTGCCCTATCTTTAGATATGCTAGTCTAGAAATATATGTTGATAGGCTACAATCATAACCTATCTAGTTGATCTATTTCTATACAGGTACTTTAATATTGAAAATAAAATTGTTGTTTACGTTGGTGTTTAAATTCTTTCAGGTTGCCAGATTGCTCGATTTGTGTACTCTTGATATGTCTAGTCTGGGGTTCACCTCGAGTATGATCGCAGCAACAGCTATGTGCTACATGATATCCCCTCAGTTGGCAACTCAGGTCTCGGGCTACTCGTCAGAAGATATCCAAGAATGCTATGACTGGATGGCAGCATTTGCAATCACAGTACACGAGATGGGGCCAGTACAGCTTAAGTCATTTAGTCAAGTGGCACAAGACGATATTCACAATATCCAAACACATTCTGCCGACCTCGATATTTTGGTGAGTACTGTACTTTGTTTGTAGGTTTATAATTAAATGTAATTCCCATCTAAAGATTGATTTTAATACTGGTAAAATTGGGTGATATTTTACCTGTGTAGGACATTTTTGGGCAAAATAGTTGATCTGTATATATATATTGGAAAATAATAATAAATAAATTTTCTTTGCCATAGGAACGAGCACAGATCAGGTTGAGCCAGATCCGATCTTCTTCTTCTCGTAATAGTCCGGAGTCGTCAGGTTTATCGGTTGGAATGCTCACGCCTCCAAAAACAGATGAGAAAACCAAATTTTAAATTTAGATATTTTTTGGGGGTTAAAACTGAAATAGTTTAAGAAATGACATGTCATGTTTTCAGTCAGTCAATGACATTATTGTTTCGTATGAGATCTAAATGGATCGCTTAAATTTGTATGAGGTTTCTGAGGCTACAGAACGTGATTGGCATGTTATTGTTGATCCATTTAGATTGTTGGCCCATACTGGTCACAGTGTTTTAATGTCATGTGAACATTTTTTATACATATCAGATAGGTACTACGGCCATGCTTATACATATCAAAAGCATTTCATGCTATATAGTAACTTAATATAAAAAAATAGTTTTATTGTACTTGCTTTGCTCACTAATGTGCATGCTGTGCAACATTGTGTCTTATGAATGTTATTGGTTATCGTGTGTACAGTGACGACTTTTATGTGGGCAAGAATCTATATTGGGGAGGAGCATCAATGGCAATTTTTATACATAATTTTGCTCTATGCTGATTGAGCAATTTATTAACATTCAGAATTCTTCCTGTTGAAGGCTTGTAAGGTTTTAATCATTCTTTATTTATGGTATTGTATATAATTTGATACGTAAAAGTATGCAATTGAATGAGGAATTGGTAAATAATTAAAACAGGTATAAAATTAAAGTTTCTTTGTGGCCGATATTAAGTAGTTGGCCATGCCATTGAGACAGGCTGTGTAAATACTGATGACTGTGCCTGGTAAAACAAATCTAGTCTTTTCCGTAAAGGGATTACAGTTTATTGTTTTAGCGCCAAGTGCAATGGTGTTTCATACAAGTATGAAATGCTCTCTTTCAGGGTTTTCCTTTGTAATTAATTTCTTTAGGAAATTGCTCTGCTCTTCTGAGCTGTTTGGGTGCATTGTGTCAGCTTTTTATCGTATATGAAAATATACTAAAATGCTCGTTAATGGAAGGAATGTAATGATTACATGTCTGTGATGCTACAGGGCATTTTTTTTTTTCAATATATAATCTCATTCATCTTGGAAGTAGGGCAGTGTCTTGCCCCTAATTACTCAATTGTGCCAACTAATGTAATATGGGATACAGGGGCATTATATATATTTTTTCTTCAAGTAAACTGTGCATTTTTCATTTTACATTTTCTTTGTATATTAGATGAAACACTTGCAAAGATACATTGATTGTGTCGTGTGTCTCCTGCTGTTGCTGGCGTGTAACTTCTTAACATGAGCATGGAGGAAAATGAGGCCCATTAACTTATTCTTTTCCATGGTAATATCAGAAGTTTAAATGAAATTTAACTTTCATGGACTGTATTTAATAAATTATAATTGTTAAATTAATTTTACTGCAGTGCATTAATATGCTGTCTGGAAAACCTGAAGGTAAATAAAACAAACTTTTTTACAATATTTTTGTTCATCCCTGAGAATGATGTGTGAATTTATGTAGAGCTTTTATTAAAAGTAAATTACTAATAATGATATGATAGATATTAGCATTTAAGCTATAGCTCTTTGGCTTGCCTGGGTGTTAATCTTCCACCTCCATAATTGTCTTGCATTTTCAAAATCTCTTAAATATCTTGTAGGTTGCGACCATGTACATTGTGTTTTAGTTTTTCTAATATTGAGACATTTAATTCTTTTGATCCATCCTGAGTGTGTACAAAACTATTGAGGTTACACGAGTAGAGCTGTGCTCATATTCAGTATTTATTACAAACTTTTTTTATAGATTTCAGTGGTTTTGTTCTACACTGTGATGCACTGCTGTTTCTAGGAGCCAATCCAATCAGGCTAATTAAGCATCATTGGAACTAGCCAATACAGTAACTGGGTGGATAGCTTGTTTTTGGCTACAGCCTATGATAATGAGCTTCCAATCTCTTGACAATAGTATACCAGTTTAATGGTACTATATTATTCTTTCTATGTCACCTTTCTGTATATACAAAGTCTGGCATAACTCGACCCATTTGTGCTTTCTCATACCTTCATTTGAAACCATGAATGTGATTACCTGGTGTAGTAATAGAGCTGTGATTGTGGGGGTCAGAATTACAGCTTATATATATATATATATATTATATATATATATATACAGTGGTACCTCGCATAACGATCGCCCCAAAAGACGAACATTTTGGGTAACTAACGGCCCGATCGGCGTCAAATCGTCCCGTATGACGAACGCTGGTTTGAGTAACGTCAACACCACACGGTGGGGTCGCGCTGCTTCTTGCACATTCTTAGACGCCTCCGACGATGCACATAAATTATGTTGTTCTTGTTTAAAGATGCTAATGATGCTGGGATATAAAAGGGTGACTGCTGAGATGTTGCAAAGCATTGACGTTTTTGTAGGAAAAAAGAAATGAAATGTCTGATGTACAACAAATGTCAAAGGTTCGTTCGGTGTTCGGCAGGTAGGCTGCTCCATTATAACAATCTTTCTTTGTTTCAAATGTGTTCCATTTGTTTTGTATTTGTCATTTACGTCTCAATAATGGAGAAGCCTACCTTACATACACTGAATAAACCATTATGACATTTTCCTTTCTTCAAATGTGTTCAATATTTATTTTTCATTTGTCTTATAGCAAAAGGTTCGTTCGGTGGTCGGCAGGTAGGCTGCTCCATGTTTCTTACATACAAAAAACGTAAATAATAAAAAAAATGAAGAATTTTGAAAACCAGTACAAATGTCAAAAAGGTTCGTTCGGTTGTCTACAGGTAAGCTGCTCCATGTTTCTTAAATAAAAAAAAAAACTAAAAATAAAAACTTGAAACAATTTGAAAAATGGACAAATGCCATAAAGGTTCGTTCAGTGTTTGTCGGGTAGGCTGCTCCATTATTGAGACGTATCTTGAGATGATTTCAGGGCTTTAGTGTCCCCGCGGCCCAGTCCTCGACCAGACCTCCACCCCCAGGAAGCAGCCCGTGACAGCTGACTTAACTCCCAGGTACCTATTTACTGCTAGGTAACAGGGGCATTCAGGGTTAAAGAAACTTTGCCCATTTGTTTCTGCCTCGTGCGGGAATCGAACCCGCGCCACAGAATTACGAGTCCTGCGCGCTATCCACCAGGCTACGAGGCCCACGTAAGTGACAAATACAAAACAAATGGAACACATTTGAAACAAAGAAAGATTGTCATAATGGAGCAGCCTACCCAACAAACACTGAACGAACCTTTTGCTATAATGAATATGAAAGACAAGGTGGCTGGGTTAGTACTGCGTGAGCAACCATTTGTAGCACACGTGCCTCTGGCTCTCAAACACCTGTCCCACACGGTGTTGAAAGACTGCGCTCAGTCGGTGAAATTCAGGCCCTATTGTTTGAAGAACATAAGGGTCATAACATTGGTGAAGCTAGGCGCAATAAGGGCTTAACACAACGGTCGGATGCCAGTGATACAGCACCTATGAGAATGATACAGCGAGCGTATCCAGGTGTAGCTCTGAGCCCCACCCTTGCCATCTCGAATTTATATAGATGATACATAGATGAATCGTTTTCTGCGTTCAGTGACGATGTATCTGATACAAGTAGCATAGATGAAGTGTTAGCGGCTTCCATGATGGTGTTGTTCATTGATATTTTCAAGAATACCTGAATCTCTTCCTGACTGATGGACACTCTTTGAGGCTAGCTGAATCTCTTCCTGACTGATGGACACTCTTTGAGGCTAGCTGAATCTCTTCCTGACTGATGGACACTCTTTGAGGCTAGCTGAATCTCTTCCTGACTGATGGACACTCTTTGAGGCTAGCTGAATCTCTTCCTGACTGATGGACACTCTTTGAGGCTAGCTGAATCTCTTCCTGTGTGGGACCTTACAAAGCGATCTTTTCAAGACTACCTTACAAATTGAGCCTCAAGAAAGATAGGAATATAAGGCTCATTTTAAACACTTTATCATAGACATAATTAAAGTTCTAATGAAGATTAATGTATTTTAATAATCGCCGAGCTCCGACCCCCGCATAGACTGAGCGACAGAGCAACTCTCTGAGAAGAATGTTTATTTTACGTAAATTCGTTAATAAACACAAATGTTTTACACGTCTTAAGGATAGAAATATAAGCTTTATTTTAAATACATTACATTAGACATATTTAAAGCTCAAGTGAAGATATATATGTTTTTATAGTGGCGTTCAGTAGCTTTTCGGTCATGGAGTGCAGACGCCTATGCACTTGCCAATATGTTGCGTAATTAACAAAGATACGCTAATAAAGCCTAAAATATTACATGCCTCCAGAAAGACAGAGCTATAATCGTTATTGTGAGTGCATCAAAGGAAATATATCATGTTGGAGACCAATGATATAGCAATTTTAATTTAAGTTTAGAGTCCCGCCCGGTCGAGAGAGATGGGGCGACTCTCGCCCCATCTATTGGAGATTCTGTCCACTAAAGACCCAAAGCTACTCAAACCTTCCTAGCATTACGTAAGCAATGAAGTAATATGGTATGTTTACTCACTATAATGTGGATGCTGGATGCAGAAAATGAGAAAACATAATTTTACTCTGAAAAAATATCATTTCATAACAAAATAAGATGTAAATATGTAATATCAAAGGAAGTCGATGGTCCAAGCAACAATATCGTGGAGAGACTTATCCAAGATATATTGCTCTCTGGAAAGTGTTTGCTGGTATATCAACCTTCTGTACACAGTGATCCAGTCGTCGAACTTCTCTGCTCAAATTATCGCAAATTTAATTTATGATGTTAACAAGTAGAATGCGTATTTTTAATCAAATCTAACGATAATAACAAGTAGAATGCGTATTTTTAATCAAATCTAACATAACTAGCCAGAAAACGTTAAAGATTATTTAAAAATACATGGTTGGAAGTTAAATCAACTCCATAGAACAATATTTTTGTTATAGATACTAATCGTTATTTGTTGGTATGCGTTCGCTACTTAAACTATCATGTACTGTATTTATGTAAAATCTCCCTGTTTCTTCGGACATGGAACACGGAACCTTACACGCTCTCTGATTTACTGTTTAATAGAGATTCACAAATAAGCTTATGATTGTATACGTTATCAAAAAGGCAGTGACAAAGTCAATTTTGCACTTTAATCACAGAGATTAGATCTTAGTGAGATAGGAAAGATATTCATATTTTAAAGAAGGATTTTTGAACCATTGCTCTTCCTATCGATAGAAACTAACTTTTTTTTTTGTTATTATTAACAAGCTTAGGTATACACAGTAATGTGCTGCTACCCTATTCTATATGAAAGATTACACAGTGTATATAAAAAACTAGCTATAAGTTCATTAAATATTCCCATCTCACAGGATGGTTAGTTATACATGGAATCAGGGGATAAAATACCAGCCTCAATAAAAAAAAAAAAAATCAACTGTGACTAACAAGAACACCACTTACGGGCTATTCATGCCCGTGCTACCTTTTGGGTGGCTTAATCCTCATCAATCAATCACAAGAAACAAGGGATACATCTCCCGTCACGCAGGGTCCAGTCGCACCTGCACAGATCTCCAGTATCATCTATTGATACTGTTAATGGTTCAAGAGGACTACCACTTACGGGCCTACCTCAAGGTAACAATCAGGTGAGAACATAAAATATAAGGCTGATCTATTAGCCTCCGTTAGCAAAATCCGGGTACAGCATAAGAATATCTTCCAATATTCCTAAGTGTATGAAGTAATTACAGAGTTCAAAGTACCTTATACCATTTGGTCTGAAGTCACTTATAACAGGGCAATCACAGATATAGTGTTAGTGAGTATGTCCCAGCTCTTGTTCACGTAGTTTACAATTGGAATATTCACCATTGGGGGCTAATCAGTACCTGCAGCCACCTGCGATACATATCGATATCCTAGCCTAATTCTGGCAATTACAATGTCACACTGTCATTGTGACACTAGTGGAAGTTTTATGCTGTCCGTTCATATAATTCTCGATTCTAAACATGTTTACCTAGTTTAGTTCATTAATTATGCACCCCATATATCATCTTGTGGGCGGTAGTGGAAAAGGTTACAGAGGCACATAAACATGTCATAGCTCTTTATACTCTTGCTTTCTGGCTTTTGTGTGTCAGTGACTGCTCTTCTGTCTTCCCTAATTTCCTAAAATATTGCGGCTTTGACAGAAGAGATTGGAATGCCCATATCCCACTCAACTTCAGGCTTATCACATTCAGTTTTAGCTGCCTTGTTTGTGTCATCATGCTGGACAACACCTATATGAGAAGGTATCCATACAAATGAGACTTTGAAACTCCTACTGTTTGCAATAATAATGTTGTTTATAATGGAAGTTACAACTACAACCTTTTGAAGATCAATACTAATTTTATCTAGATAATGTAATAAACGAAAGTTTTCTATGTCAACA